TTATCTGGGAAGGGGGAGGACTCACCATTCCGTGGCCGAAGGACCAAGCCTTCTCGGGCATGTCGAGATAAGCCTTGTTGAGCTCATTTCCGCGAAGCCAGACATTGTGGACTGTCAGGATCTGGATCGAGAAGATGTTCCCGCATTGTGATTGAGCTTTGCGGATGAGCGAGATGGGCTTGACTGCGTAGTCGTGGGCGTCGCCGAGGAAAGAGAAAAAGCCCTCGCCTTTGTAAGCGGGGATCTTGCTAGACTTGAAATACCATCTTGCTAACAGTATCACTGCTGCAAATAGTGCCGGAATAATCAACATGATTCGGGGAGATGCTTGAAGCGGCGAAGAAATGAGCGTGACTGGTGTATGAGCCCGACAGGCTCGCGGATACACTCGAAGTGAGAAAACAACGGAATCTCAGTGAACTCCTTCAAGAAACTGATCGGTAGGGCACGAGTCTTTCTTAAGTCCACCAAAACACCTATTTCCACGTTGAATACTGGGAGCTATCCGACGGCGGAGGTCCGTCCGAAATCAACGAGACAACAACAAAACAACAATTACCTTGGCCCTGGATGTTGAGATTAACTCCATGGCGTAGCCGAGACCGCCAAAAGCAAGGTTGACTTGTCGGTGAAGGACGATGTTCTTGCTCCGGTGGGTAAACAAGACGTCCCTCCGAAAGGCCTCGGAATGCGGTGATGTCCAGGTGTTGGGTTCAAGGGATGATTTAGCCTCGTCGATCTGGGGTATGAGCCGCTCCATCGAAACTGTGGCTTGAGGTGGCTCATATCTTGAATGTACCAAGGTTTTCAATGCATCAATGTCAAAATCCCGTGACCTCAAGATCCTGTGCAAGTCTATTCCAGCTTAAGGATTCCCGGGAGCAGTCAGATGTGACCTCCATTCTTTCCTCCTCGACATGCTTCAGCCCGTCGGAGATCGCGAGCGCCTGGCTCCGCTGATCCTTGAGCATAGCATGGGCAAAGCCTTACTTAATGGAATCACTCTGACTCATGGGTTATACGAAATTGAGCCTCTCTACCATGGAGTTCGGACGACGGAGAGGGCTTGGATAGCCATGGTTGCGCGGCCAAGGTCCGCTTGCGCCTTGGACATCTCGATTCCAAAGTAGCCATGCTGTTAGCGTGTTGTCGATCACTTGAAGCAGAGGATCATTTGAGATTCTGTTCAAAAGTCCACAAAAGAACTCCGCCGGGAGCTTTATGAGAGCTTGGCTTCGCCGGAGGTAAACATACGAGTGGGTTGTCTCTCATAGATTGTCTCCTTCACATCCTGGCAACCGCCCGTTTTTTTGGATCCATGGAGTTTGCGGTTGAAAGAACCAACATACGCTGCACTCAGATCCTCTAGAGCGTCTCCCAGAACGAGGTTTCACTTTATTTCACCGTCGCTTCCCGGTGACGTACGTCATGTACTGCCCTCTCCGAACGTCCTTGTGGATTGCTGTGCCGTAAATGAACGCAAACGAGCTGTAGACCTAATACTGCCCTGTCGATGTCGCGTGACAGTTTGTGCGGGGTGAAATTATATCTTTTCTTTGTAGGATTAAGACCGATCCAGAAAACATCCTCCGCCATAAATCCTACAGTCCCGGCCCAACTCTCAGCATCACCACGTTTCGGCACCCGACTCCATGGCAACAGCTGTCTTTACCCACATCGACGACCCAATCAAGGTGATTTCCATGCTTCGACCCTCGTCATTCATGGCTTACTTTTAATCTGACTGTCATGGGCTTGTGTTTCTTGCTACGGCTGAAGGGCCACCTGAACGCACGCACTACTGGTAGACTCGTGTAAAAGCCCCACTGGTAGGACCAGTGCTCTGGACATAAGTGAAGGACTTTGAAAATTTCGTGGTCTATTTCGTGGCAACATGTAAATCTTTAACTGAAATTTGATGCTTATCATGATCAGTTTCACGGTCGCGGAACGCTCTATACTCAGATCAAGGAGCCTTCCCATGCGCTTGTCTGGAGTAGGAAGCCCAGATACTGCCAGTCCGCTCTTCTGCCCTATTTTTCTTTCTTCCCGTACCGTCGTCTCTTGTCTTTTTCTCTGTATTATATAAAGAGCCGCCGCGAAAAGAAGGCCAACACTGATGCGATCCTGTTGTGTTCTCTAGTGATCTTTCCACGCTAATACAGGGTGCCGATCACCGAAATGCTGGAATATGCGGTTGTTCGCTCAAGGTAATTTCGCCTAATTCAAAGCCAAGGAGATCACGGAAATCAATAGCCAAGTTGTTTCGAGAGCTGTTGGCTGTTATTTTACAGAGCATACTTCCGATGTTCTCCGGAGCCTTCCGTGTTGACTCGGACGGAGGCTGTGCCTTCTCAGCCAATCACGTCTTATTGCCGGCCGTTGCGGTCGGATCCACCCCGGGGCCCTCATCCGTCCCCTAGCGGAGGATCCCAGGTAACAGCATCCAGCATATCTCAGCCACTCTCACCCAAGCCGGACTTTGTTCTTGGGACTCCATTCCGCTAACCTAACCCTTGGCGAGTTGTTTGACTATCGACCGATTTGCTTCGTATTATACTTTTCCCCATCTGGGACCAAGACGGAGGAAAGAAGACTGTACATTTCCTCGATTTATTTTTGGCGAAGCAGTGAAGGAGGGGGCCACAACATCATCGCCGTAATGTATTTAACAATCACCCGCGACCTTCCGGAAGACATCCTTCCTGGCCATCTTGCAACCACAGACCATCCTCGTCGTCAACGAATCAGCCAACCCGCCATAGCTCCTCGCCATGCAGCTGTCACTTCTCCTCGCTGCGCTGTCTGCGCAGGCAGTCCTTGCTGCACCTCGAATCAAGAGAGACGCCCTCAAATCATGTGTGGAGGAGGTCTTTGGAGGGAACGCGGCTCTACGTATCGTGGCACCGACTGATCCCACATACCACGATGCGAGAATCGGAGAGGCAATCCAGTGAGAATGGTATACTGCTTCAGTGTTCCGGACATAGCGCTTACCTACGATTTAACAGGTTCACACAGATGCCTGTGTTGATTGCTTATGCGGAGAAGCCGTATGAAGTTGCCCCCTTGATACAATGCGCAAAGACAAATGGCATCAAAGCAGTCCCCAGAACCGGCGGTCACCAGTAAGCAATCATTTCCAAATCTACCTGTCTTTGGGAGTTTCAAAAAATGACTTACTTTGCACAGCTTCCTCGGATACTCCGCCCTCCAAGACGCACTTGTCATCGACATCACCCACATCGACTACGTCAACATCGCCGCAGACAAGAAGACCGCCACCGTCGGCGCCGGCATCCGCTTCGGCGCCCTATACACGGCTCTCGGACAGCAAGGCCTCGACTGGACCGGCGGCATCTGCCCCACCGTCGGCATCTCGGGATTCCTCTCCGCGGGCGGCTTCAACATGCAGATGCGCCAAAACGGCCTCGGCGTCGACAACGTTGAGTCCGCCAAAGTAGTCACGTCAGACGGCTGCGTCGTAACGGCCTCGCGCGAAGAGAACTCGGACCTCTTCTTCGCCATCCGCGGCGGCGGCGGTGGATCCTACGGCATCGTGATCGAGTGGACGCTGCGCATGTACGAGTTCCCCCGCTCCGCCATGGTGTACCTGCAATGGAACGGCTCCGACACGAGATTCGACATTGCAAAGGCGTTCCACGAGTGGGCGCCTCGCGCGGACAGCGCGCTTAGCTCGCAGGTGAACTTGTACAAGAACCGAACCGACGTGATTGGGTGGTGCTACGGCTGCACCCTCGACAAGCTGCAGGACATGGTGAACGCCTCCGGGCTCCTGGCTATTGGCAAGCCGGCGGCGTACATCTCGGGCGGGTGCAACACCATCAACGCCCGGCTCTTCGGCTACGGCGTCAACGAGTGCGGCGCCGATGAGGCCGTCGCACAAGTTGCGCCGTTTGTGGTCAACACGATCCAGCAGCCGTTTGTCCAGATTCCCGGGTATGCAAACTTCACCTACAACGAGACGACCAAGGCGCCGGAACTACCTCCTGCGCAGCCCTGGGCGCGCTTCATCCGCTTATCAAAATCCTTCATGGTCCAGAAGGATAAGCTGCTCACGGACGACACGATGAGGAACGCTATTACGCGCATCGATGAGCTCGACGACGCGGCGCAGGGCTGGATTGAATGGCATGCGTGGAACATCTCGGTCGCGGGCGATGCGGCGTTTGCGTGGCGCGAGCAGGCGTATTCGCACATGGAGTTCATTGTGTCCAGTTCCGCGGACGAGAAGGTCAATGCTGGATATGTGAAGTGGTTCAAGGACCTGGAGGATTATCTTCGTCCGCTGGTTGGGTAAGTCTTCTGTTCTCGATATCTTTCGGGCTGGTGGACAATGTGACTGACCAGAGTGACAGAATGGCGAGCTACTCGGGCTACATGGACGACACGATCTCCACCCCACCGCTTGATTCGTACTATGGCGCCAACGTCGCAAAGCTGTCCCAAATCAAGTCCAAATACGATCCCCAAGGCTTCTTCACCAACGTGAGTATATCAACTTCCAGAGAAACTGGACGCATCGGCTAACGGAGGATTCAGCCTCTGAGCATCAAAGCTTTATTCTCAAACCAAACAGTGACTGGCGACAGCTGTCTGTAGATAAAGGCAAAGACAGAGCACGGTGCAAGGTTGCCGAAGAACCGTATGACTGTGACGTCAGAATATAACATAGTGTGCTTGATGAGCAAGCTGTAATCCAGCTGTAGAGCGAGAAGATCCCGTCGATGGAAATGTAATCTAGCTGAAATATCATCCCTTCACCCGCGCATGATCGAGTCAAGATAATCCACCCGATTGGGCCCCAAAACATCAGATGAGTTGAAGAAGCTTCTTACCGAGGCCGTATCCCGCGCGGGGTCGACCGTGCAATGTCCGTCACTTTGAATTGGCTTTTTTTTTTTCATCCTTCTTTCTCCCCTCTCACCTTTGTATCTTGATCTCGAGTATACAGACGTACCTGCAGGACCATATGCACCATGAATACCGCACTTGATCGAGGAGCGCCAAGACCCGATGAATTGAGCGACGCAGGCTGTCTCTTAAGGTACGTGATTGCGCTATGAATGATCGGTATGAATTACTGTTGCCATAGTATGTGCTGTCGGCGTGTTCCAAGTAGAGGCATGGCATTGTCGCGAGTTATTCGGGGGCGTCCGTGACTGGGGAGAAGCTCAGGCACATCTGAAGTTCATGCTGTCTTTGGTCTTCCTCATCCACACTTGTTCATTTATTTGATGGCTTTCATCATCTATGGTCATCGCCGTTCAAGTTCCAAAAATGAGTGCTTAAAGTCGGGAATCTCTGCGTTAGACAATGCCACTTCAGTCTCAACATCAACGCTCACCCCTCATTCTGATAATGGTTCTCGCTGACCCCGAGAACAAGGCAACCCCAGACAATAATCTGGCTCAAAACCTCGGACCAGTCCTTTGCAATACACAAGTCCCTCCTCGTCGAGTCCTCAAAGTACTTCCAACGCTGCCTCGACGGGCCCTTTGCCGAGTCCCACACAAACACCATCGACCTCAACGACACCGACGCCGCAGACGACGACGACGACGCCGACACCGCCAACGTCAGCATCAACCCGCTGACCCTCGGCACCTACGTAAAGCTATGCTACTTCACCCGCCTCACCGCCCAGCGCGTCAAACGCTGCCGCCGCAACGCGGCAGACCACGCCGAGGACGCCTACTACGAAGTCTCCCCCTTCTCCCTCAAGCCCTGCGACATGCACACCCCGCACGACCTGACGGAGCTCGTCGACATGTGGTCCCTCTGCGACCGCTTCCACGACGACCTCTTACTGGGCAAGGTCTCGACCGCCATCCGGGAGACGCTCGACGTCGGCGCCACGAAGCTCGGGGACGCGCACTGCGCCGAGTGGTGGGTGTTCAACTTTGCCAACGGCTATGTCGCGCTGCAGAGCCTTCACCGGCAGTACGATGACGTCGAGGGCCTTCTGGAGAGGTTAAGGGAGCTGTTTGTGCAGAATTGCTCGCCGGCTTCGTGGGAGAGGTTGGCGGGCCAGTTGCCGAGTGCGTTTGTGGTGGCGGCGTCGATTGCGTTCCAGGCCAAGATGGCGACGTTGATGCCGCATGAGGCGGCGATTGCGCGGGTGAATGGGGCGAGTTTGTGTTATGAGTGTAAGACGAGGGTTCAGATGGCTTTGAAGAGGTGAATGGGATGACTTTTTTTTCTTTTTTCTTTTTTTTGATTCTGTCCATTGCCGGTGCATATTCATATTGTGCCTTCATTTCGACTTTCAACAACGGGGAAATATATCACTTCGCCGGCCACGAATGACCAACTTGGCTGCTTTCAACCATGTCAGCAGATGATACACTCCTTCTAGCCTGCCATGAGTGCTGCTCATGAATTGGAGGAAACCCCTCATATACAGAAGACCAAGGTTCGTCTGTCTTTTCTGGTAAGCCAAAGTCGATGCCTGACGGTCTGTTTACTCTGGGGTTCAGCCTGCGTGGCTAGTGATCCTTGGTGTTCCTCTGTTCCTGTGTGTTGGACAAAGACACTAGACAGAATCTATAACTGAGGTGTGTGACTATCTGTAATATACTCATGATTGACGATGGCCATGTCCGGACTTCGATTGCTCCTCAGCGAGAATTGAATCTACATATCGTGAAAGACAAATGTGGCCACCTGGTACCATGACCGTAGGTAGCTCTCGATTTCTCAAAGCAGACTTGAATGCAGCTTTAGGTGATCATCCATCGACGAACTCCTCAATTCCCGTGACATCTCCCAAAGACCTATCTTTGAATTATAAGGCAAATATGACTGTTGCTCTCAGTACCTAACTCGATTTACTTCTTCCCACCAACCCAAGCGTTTTTGTATGCGCCACAATGGTATAAATGGAGCCGACACCCCTCGAACCCCTTCTATATGCACCTAATCCGCCTCACCAGCTTGCTGAACACACTCTTCATCTCCCGTAATCTCTCTTACATTAAAAAAAAAAAAAAAAAAAAAAAAAAAAAAAGACTCATTTAGTCCACATCGCCATCTTCAAACCTTTCCCTGACTAACATCAGGATACACATCAAACCTCCTCTGCGTATTAATAGGGATATTCCTCCTCGCCTCCTCAATCGTACCATTCTCCAACTCGCACACAACAGTCCCCTCCCCTTCCTCCGCCTCAACAAGCACATTCGCCATCGGGTCGATAATCAGCGAGTGTCCCCACGCATGGTACGTCGCGCCCATGTCCCGCGCGGGGCTACACATGGCCACGTAAATCTGGTTATCCACCGCCCTTCCCTGGCCCAGCAGGCGCCAGTGCATCGGCCCCGTCGTCAGGTTGAACGCGCCGGGGTACACGAGCGCGAAGCACCCTCTGCGCGCGGCGATGGCCGCCAGCTCGGGGAACCGCACGTCGTAGCAAATGGCCACCGAAATACGTCCGTACTCTGGCAAATCCACAACCGTAACCTGGTCCCCCGGGCTCAACACCTCGCTCTCCTTGAAGGTAATCTTGCCCGGGATATCGATATCAAACAAATGCACCTTGCGATGCGTCGCCAACAGCTTTCCCTCGGGCGAAAAGATCAAACTCGTGTTATAAAATTTCCCCGTCTCAGCATCTAGCTCCGGCACGGAGCCACCCACAAGATATGCCCCGCTCTCGGTCGCCATGGCCGCCAGCGCGTGGAAGCTGGGGCTCTGTTCCCTCGAGGGCGGCGACGGGAGCAGCGTCTCGGCGTATTTGGGGAAATAGTCGCATCCGTAGGGCGAGTTGAAGCACTCGGGCAAAACGACGATTTTGGCTCCCGCGGCGCTAGCTTCGAGGACTTTGGCGCGCGCGTTGGCGAGGTTGGCGGCCTTGTCGGCGCCCGAGGCGAGTTGGATGCAGGCGAGCTTGACAGGCTTCTTGAGCAGCGGGGACGGGAGGGAGGACGACATGTTGCGGACGTTGCGAAGGGGGACAACGAGGCGGTGCGCGGAGAGTTTGGTGATTGTTGATGATAGGGTGCGTAGGGTGCGGAGGGCGAGGCGCATTGTATATTGTGAGAGAGAACTGAGTGCTTTCCGAAGCGGCGGGCGGAGGGGGGGGCGGGGGGGCATATGCGACTTGCGAGTGACGTTGGGTGCGGCGCGGTGGTGGTGGGGTGGGAGGAACGATAAACGGCGGGGTAGCTGCCGTGACGGACTTCGCGGTCGGAGCTCATCCCTGAGATTCGGCTAATGACGGCATCTCGTACTGTGCTTGTCGACGACAGTTGCGCGTGAAAGATACAGTGCGAGATGGGCGTTGACGGCCCCGAATTGTCCGATCCGTCATCGGGAAATTCAGTTGGTTCGGCCCGGCTCCGATCGGCCTTTACGCTCCCCCGCGTCGAACCGCCGCTAACCACTCTCGTTTTCTCCTTGGACATTCCTTACTCCGTGATCAAGAAGGATCCTTGTTCGTCTTCACGCTTTTCGGTATATACAGTATCCCAATATCTGAAGTAGTAAATATACGGCCAAGGTCTTCCGAAACTTCGACGCCATTTTTCGAGATTTGTGACAACGTTGAAGAAACCGGAGTAAGTCACCTTGAAGCACAATAGACCTCATAAGTACGATAGATTCAATCCTCCACTCCCACCTATCCCCGAAAAATACAACATAGAGATCCCATCGTCATGCCTACTGCCCCCCTTAGTGAAGAATGCCCTCACATCTGTGGGTTCCCGGGCCGAGTACGTAAAGGCATGTACGTAGTAGGCTAGGGAACAATAGAGACCAAACAAGCAAACCCAAATGACCCAGATCTCAACACTGCGGGAACCGGCTAAACCATGCCGTGGCACGCATACTGAACCACCTTACCCAGCTATATCCAAGACTCAGTGCGATGTAGTCCACATTTGCACATTCCAAATCATCAACATACCAGCAAAAAGACCCAGGCACTCGGTAACTTCATTACCGCCGATCGGCCGTCCAACGTTTCCCTGCCGCCGGCGACTTTTGGTGGCTGATATGAGAACGGGTATTTTGGCGACTTCCACAGGCACACACATTACTAACCCCCCCACCTCAACTTTTCGGCAGCCTGGCTAGGTTGGTTTGGTCTCGACGTTCGTCCGGTCAATCAGCTCTCCCTTCCCACGCGTGAAACACTCCCTTTGTAAGCTTATGTTTGGGGCACTACACATTCCGAAACCATAAAAGTCGAGCCCGGCCCAGTCCTAATCCTATTCCCAACCCACCAGTACTAGCAAGATGAGAGTCGACGTAGTATACACCGTTGGAAGCAACCCAGTCAAGTCTGATCCAATCCAGCTCCTCGGGTCCGGGGGAGGAAGATGCCACTCCTACAGAAAAAAAAAAGGTTAAACTTGAGGGTGATGTTTCTTTCAATGCATTGAGTGTAAGGCATTAGGGGCTCGACCGAAAATAAGCTCCATCGAACAAGATCCCTTTTGTTTAGAACACGAGCATTGGTGGTCATCAGACGGATTTTAACATGTTTTATCTGATTTCGTCTTTTCTCTTGTAAACGAGATAGATGCTTGCTCTGTCGCCCGTGGCGCTTCAGCCTCGCAGCATAAATCCACACACATGTCTTTCCCCCTGACCCCCAATGTGAGCGGCAAAGCTTTGAAACAGTTGATTAGGTATCACTCCATCGTTACGCCGAATCCAATTCTGCTCAGCCTCTCCCCACGCTTCCGATTCGTCTCATAGAAACCACACTTCGCAACCTGCTCCACCTTCTTTCCTTTCTTCCCATAAGCCTCAAATTTGAAGCTTCAAGTTGGGACCACTCGCAGTGGTTTGTTTGCTGTTCTTCTACTGGTCTCGACTGCGCGGTACCAACGTCCGCTATGTGACGACAATAATATGCAAAAAATAGCTGAGTGATCCAGCCACAAATTTTGCCAAACTCTCTGTTCAGACCAACGCCGGCATATGAACAATAGATGACGAGAAATTAGACATGAAGGAAGTGGAGTAATATACATCCATATCGGTGCCGGCGTCCGTAATGGGCTCGCCGGTGTTTCGCGACCGGGCTACCCAGGCGTGTGATCGCAGATATACGACAAAGAGGTGGCAATCCATATTGGATGACTGGCGCCGCCGGGCGGGGCCGCAATGAGGTTTGAGAAGCCGGAAAGGCCGCGGGTATCGATTAGAGTTGGCATTTTTCATGCATGCCGTGGGGTGGGGGTTGAAGTTGATCTGGGGCCACCAGGTGACCCAATATCGCTAGCTCTGCCTTATAGTATCAGCTGCTTGAGGTTGCGCTGGATAATCATGTCCTGGACCGAGCCCATGGTGATCTTGAGCAGGTTCGTATCGGTGGCATTCGTGAAATGCCCGTAAATTTCCTTCTCGGTGTTTCGGTTCAGCGCGCGGAACTTGTCCAAGAAGTATTTGCTGGCAGACTTCCAGTCTTCGGCGGGGCCGTGGTAATCCGTGAAACCGTGCGATGTAATCGGGTTGTTGGGCAGTTTCTCCTTGAAGAGATCCATCTTGTTCAGAAAGAGGATCAGAGCAGACTTTGTGAACCAGTGCGAGTTGGCAATCGACTCCCAGAGCATGAGCGCTTCGTTCATTTGGTTCTGTTAAGTTGGTTAGCTTGACAGGAGACGAGAAAAATAGAGTCGGCAACACATACGCCGTCCTTGTCCTCAACCAAACATTGATCGTATCCGCTGATGGCGACAAGGAAGAGCAAGCAATTGACATTTTCGAAGCAGTGGATCCACTTCTTCCGTTCCGAACGTTGGCCACCGACATCGAACATGCGGTATGTCAGCTGGCCCAGGTCGAACACCGTCTCGGTGATTCCCGTAGTTCGCAATCTCGATCGCAACAAATCTTGGTCTGTGGGTTCGTAGCTCGCGTCCCAAATTCGGTCCAAATCGTCACAGAAGCTACATCAGTCAGCCATGGGCTCAGTAGAGGCAGCTGGTGCGCCAGTATGCTTACTATGCCAGGTTGTCGTGGAGGGCGAACTCGTTGCCCTTTGCTATGGCCTGCTTGACACCGCCGTCGACCCAAAGTTCTTTGACAGATTGCAGGTAGTCGCGCGGGAGAGGGTCTTGGGCGTTGATCTCGTGTTCCACCAGGATATGCGCCATGTGCTTCTGTAAGAGACACCATGTGTTAGCCGGACCGTTCTGTTTATTACGCGCATGAAGAGTGACAAAATGTCTCGAGATTGTCGCACGCAATTAGCGTCAACAGGAGGATATTGAGGGTTGCTTGCCTCGTTTTCGGGGTTGCTGAACTCGATTCCCATTTCGGTCATGGCATCTTGGATCAAACGGAATGATTGGACAATGTTGTTGAATACGACCGGCTTCCATTCGAGCTTCTCGTTCTTGCTGAAACCTTGTGCGTAGATCAACTTCATCTGCTTCAGGACAGTAGATTTTCCAGATTCTCCGGCACCTGTCCAATTGAAAACAAAAGTCAGCGCACAAACAGATGCATTGCGCTAGTTAGTGATCCGCGTCGACGTACCCAGCAATAACAGCTTGACCTCCTTCGATAGGCGCTTCTCATCTTGTCGGATCATGCGGTCGAGGTCGCGCGAACGAGCACCACCGCCGTCATCTTTTGTTCGGGCCCCGAAGCACATGTTGGCCTAAGGAGCGTTTGTCGCCGAGAGAATTGGGTGCACGAGAAGCCGGCGCGGTAACGCTGAACAGGTGTTGGGGAAAAAAGAAAAGAAAAGAACGCGATCAGTCGGTAAGAAAAAGTGTGGGCAGAAAGCGCGAAGCAATCAGGAGGCGGACCGGCGGAGGTGGTAACGGTTTAAGGCGAAAGCGAGGTGGAAGAAGAAATGCGAGCAGCTAGTTCCGGGGAGGGGGTGGTTTCTTGGGGGGAATTCGCGTCGAGGTCCAGGTGGGATGGGAACGGTCTCGCAATGGTCTGAGGGCGTTAAAGGTCGGTAGATCAGATGAAGAGACGGAGAGGACAGCGATGAAAGGTTGGGCCAGGCCACGGTGGAAGAAGAGGGTCGATTCGGATCGTAATCTCAGCGTGACGCAAGTGGAGCGCAAGACGCAAGGCGGGGAGGAAGGGGCAAAAGAGAGATCGAGAGTCGAGTCGAGTCGAGAGTCGAGTCGAGACAATAAGGCGACGGAGCAACGGCGAGGACGGATGGCGTGGGTAGAAGAATCGAATGCAATGGCTGTAGCGTAGGGTGTAGTGTGTACGAAGTATTCGTACGGATATGGTGCCTGTCTCTCTCTGGCTGTGCACCTTTTGGGAACCAGGTTTGAGGAATGGGACGGGCGGGAGTGGGCCGGAGGAAGCTTTTGTCGGTTTTAGAAGTCCCACTGGCAGGTAAGAGAGAAAAACAAAAACCGCTAAAACTCTTGGGGGCGTTCGTAGCGGACGCCCGGTGGGCTGCGGGTTGCTAATGTTAATCCTCCTGTTCAGTGTGTTGTGCCCAGGTGGTGTTTTTGCTGCCCAGCGAGGCCAATGGCGGGTCAGGGGAGAGAACTAACCGGCTAGCGCAGGAATTGGAGAAAGGAATAGAGAGCTTCGATGATGTGAGGAACAAGCTTGAAGCTGAGGCCAGACGATACGTGACACACAGAGGCTGTTATGTTGGTGATGACCAAGCAGGAATGATATGATGGGAGCAGCGAAGTGCTGGGTGGAGGATCGGGGAGGATGGCGATACAGGTACACACACACAAGGACGATTGGAAGGAAAAGAGAAGAAGTAGAGGAGAGGAGAGAAGCAAGTCGAAATAGGCAGAGGAAGCAGACGGGATGTTCTGCAGAAGAAGAAGAAGAAGAAGAAGAGCAAGTCAAGCAAGCTGCAGTATCCGTACCTACCTTACAGGCTACTTGGTACCAAAAAACGCACGCACAAAGAGTAAACTATGAAGCACCTCCCTCTTCATTACTGCTCCTGCCTCCATCCTCACCTCATCTGGGGCTCCGTATCCGTAAGTTACCTCACCTTATTACCTGATTCAATTTCATTACCTGCCTGTCAACACTTCGTACCCTACCTCCCTAGTCCTTGCCTCCTTGGTCTCCGTTGACAAGGTACCATCGTGCCCCGTCCCATCACTTGCCGGTAGCCAAGGGGTACGGATACCTATGTACGGATACAGCAGGTATGGGCCGAGGACGGCTAGATACGCAAGGTAAGGTGGTAAAGGTAAGTAAGGTAAAGGTACCTCGCTTCGTACCTTACGAATACATTTGTTAGACGGGGAGGAGAGTCACGCAAGTGCTGGCCCCAGGTATGGGCAGGTATGCCTTGTCCTTGGGCTTCCACTTGACTCCTGGCAATGGCATGGGCAAGCAAACAAAACAGGGTTGATGTGACTTTGCTGTGTTTTTGGAAGCATGGATTATCGAGATAGAATGATTACTCTCTGTGTCCGTACGGATAGGCTCTGGACTGCTCACATCGAGGGCGAGCGACAAGTACTCCGTAGCCGCACAACAAACGTCCACCACCACAATGTCGATCACGACCCTGACTCTATGAACTGCCAGTCCAATCACCTTGGATGCTACCTCAATGTGTATCTGTATCCATTCTAACCAACAGACACCGCTGCAGCTGCAGCCGCAATTGCACCACCAGAAACCAGGAGCATAAATAGGAGCTGTTGCCGAAGTATAGCTTATCCGTTGGAAAAGAAAAAAGAAATGCGACATGAACAGGAGAGCGGGAACAGGAGAGCGGGAACAGGAACATGCGGAACTTTTGGACCGGGGTGGTAGCAGTACCTGCCTCAACTCGCATGTCCCGAGTACGTACCTGACTTAGACTCCCACCTAAGGCAAGAGCAGGACGGGACACAGGTGGGGCCATACCCTGACGTACCTGGCTGGTATCGTCGGTTTGATTCGTCCTGTCATCCCGGCCCGCTCTTGCCGCAGAATTGCATCTCGCGAGACTTGGCAGCTACTTGTGCCGGGGTACTCTCAAGTCTGTCCACGGCTTCCTTGCACTTGCATTAGAAAGCAAGCCACCTCCAGTTCCCCGTCGTTCTTGTGCAGCACCTTCGCCTTTTAGCACGCAGGCACAGGCAAGGCAGGTACCTACGCCAATCCTCGTCTCCTCTGTGGAAAGGTACCTACCACCTTTACCAACTCTTTCTGTTGGTCAGTCTTGAGATTTTCGTTCCGCCATCATCACAGACATTTCATCCGTCGCTCAACCAATCCACTAGTTCGTTGCAACCACTTCTGCTTTTCGGGGCCGGCCAGTTCCTCGGGGTTCTGGGAGAGACCCTATCGAGACTCGAACCATCTTACGAATGCCCTCTCTTTGACCCTCATCGAGGATCGACTTCGGCGCATATCCCAGCTGTTCGCACGCGACCCTCACGACCCTCACGACACCCATGTCGTGCTCGCCGAGGCCCAAGGCACTACGAATGCATCTACGAATACATATCGAGTACCTCTCAGCGACCACAACCTAAGCTTTCTAGCAGTGCTCCCTACACCATACACCGTAGGTGCTAGCAGCCATTTGAATAATATCCAGCTGCCGGTCTGGACGTGCTTTCGAAGAAAACCTCTGTCATGGTTCGACGCACACCCTTTCCCATGCACAATGCTGGGCTCGAGTGTCCCAGAAATGCAGGTTGCGAGCTGCAAACTGCCACGCCTCATGACTTCATGCATAAGGAGAGAAGCCAACGGTCCAGCAAACAAGCTGAAAGCCAATGAGCTCTTGAAGATTCAAAGTACAATGGCACATGGCTGCGTTGATTCAAACTACTTCCAACCTCCAACCATCTGGTCCACCGCCTGTCTCATCCTGCCCTCGCCTACTACGTATACCACCTTCAAAGACTTGTTCGATATGCTTCAAACTCAGAAGATTAACGGGCTCCGCCCTCAATCAATATAGGACTGCGACAAACCCGCGGCCGTCCCGTTCGCGCCATGAACCAATCATTGGCTCGGATGCTGTTGGCTGTCTTGTCAAATAACACCTGGGCAGCGCATCAATCAAAGGCTCCAGTCGAGCCTTCAATTTGTCTGAGTCTCCGTTCTCAGTATGGAGCGTCATCGTGGCATTCCACACAACAGACGGAAAGACAGAGCCACTTCGATCCTTCAGGCCCCTGCGTGACACCAGATCGCTGCCACAGAACCCCAATCGGGCCCCTACTCCGGAACCGCCTCGTGCACCGAGCTTTTCTTCTGCCTCCTTCTCGTGCGCGAACCCGCCGTCGCACCCGCAGCCGTGGCCAGCTCGCGCCTCGCCCTTCAGCAGGTCATCGCTATGAAGTTCACGTTGCTTGCGGAAACGCGTCCCACCCGACGACGCCTCTTTTGTCGCTTCCAGATGTGGTGGCTCGCCACGCAGCCACCAAGCATCGGACGAAGAGCTTGGGCCAGTGCTTCCGCTTTCGATATCAGTGTTTTTCTCTGCAGTCAAGTCTTCTCACAATGCACGGCACAACCATGATGCCAGCCCTTTGTTTCGAGTAGCGGAGGTCCTGGCCGAACACGTCCGCTCTCGAGGGAAAGCATGTCACCCCCTGATTCATGCAATTGCAACGCTGCCAGTAGAACACGACTCTGGCAGTCTGTCGTCTTCCCTCAGAGTCGCATTCTGCTAGACTTTTCCCCAACAATAATTCAGATCAGCATTGCAGGCTCCAGTGGGAAAATGAGCGCTGATTTTGCGGGCCGCTAAAAGGGGACCTGCAGCATCGACGGAAGAGTCTCGCAGAAACGAATACTCCAGTGAGCAGGGATTCTTCTTCATCATCCCGGGCCTCCTGGCGTGGCGGTTGCAAGGATAAGAGCACCAGCTCGTTTCGTTCGACAGGGGGGCCGTTTGTGGATGGATTGCACAACTCGTGGCTTTTCTGGCGGGGATCCTTGAACATCGATGAGCCAGATCAACGCACGTTTCCAGGACCGCACCTGCTTTGCCCAACACGCTCAAGATATGGCTGGCATGGCGCGGGCATCGACCTCACAGAGATCTTGGCCCAACTGGGCGGGACGTCTTGGATTCTGCCTGTCGGAGACTTGACAGGAACAAGAACGGACTCGTAATTACTGCAGGAAGACTAGGCATTGCGCGCTCCAGAGCCGCAGTCCAACGGGAGCCGCATCACGATCGAGTACTTCGCCGCCGGAAATATTGTTGCAGCCTTCAAGGGTTGCTTGGGCCCTATGGCTAGGCTCTCTGCCTTGAGGAAGAAACGGCCAAGGACTTTCCAGAGCCAGCATAACTGGTCAAGTTTTCCAACAAAGATTTCAGCCCGTATTACTCTTGACATCGCCCGAGGTGGTACGGTCTCGACGTCCCGAGCAGCCCTGTTGACTACAGAGCATTTCACCACGTGGTGACGAAGTCCCTGCCGGATGCGGGCGTCCATAACGAATATTGTTAAACAGCCCAGTCCCCGCCAGGGGACCCCTAAGACGTCTACTATATCACGGTGTAAAGGGTAACAAAGACGATGGCGAGGCAAAGCAGTCGAGTGAGCAGATGACATGTGGGATTGTGGAACTGATTTTCAGATCCGTATAATGGCAAGCCGCGATCCGAAAGTGTGGTATGATGGACGACAGAAAACCGCCAGATGGGTTAGTCGCGCAGGACCAGGGCCCCGGATGGAAGCAACAGGTACGACAAGACTCCAAGGGAGGCAAAAGTGCCCGCAGATTGACTTCAAACACTTTGAGGTAAACTTTGGAATAGGAAGCTCCGTCACGCGATGTACCGCATGGACTAGTATCCTGCGCCAGGCGTTTTGTTTCTCCCAATTGGGCTCAAAGTTTCTGCACCGACGTCTAGCATGGCATCGCATCAGCCATAATGGGACTCGATTGGATATTGCAGACACCACTCTTGGTAGAGACGTTGCATGTTATGAAAGAGTTTTCTCCCTCATATCTGGTCTCGGGGCTGGCCCTGCCAAAAGGCCATCACGGTTCATGCGGAATCAAAGCAACATCGATGAGTCCAGGACTGACACAATCGACGATGCTTTGGGTTGCAGATGCTGATCATCTCGTCAACAGTGGCTATCGCCATCGCCCTCATTCCTGGTCGGTAGTGGGGAGCTGAGGCAGCTGAGGCGATGAAGGCTGAAAAATGTGTTACACTTGAGATGTCAGGCCTCCAAGCTGGTTTTTATTTTCCGATACGAAACAACACATTCACCACCGAGATAAAAAGAGGCAGAGTCGCGATGCAGCTGGAGACGGTGGGCAGTGGGTTTGTATGTCTTGCATACCCGAAGGCCACTAATTTTCGACCTCGGCACGTAGTGCGAAGCTGTCGCTCGGTCGCGGCAGCTGGTGCAAACCACGGCGGCTGGCAGCATGAAAACAACCATGGCCTTGGTAGAAAATGGGGAAAGCGTATGGACTTAGGTAAGGATGGGCCCATGTCGGGTCTCAATCTTCACATCGGCGGACGGACCGTGGCCGGGCTCGACCGGCTCTCGTCCGGCACACGCAAGTTTTGTCTCAGGCGGCTCCCAGTAGGTTCTTTGGGTTGTGTCTTGCTCCCGCTGAAGAATCGAGCCCGGCTTAGTGAGCGTGTTTGGGTATTGGCTTGTCATGCTGATTGTCTACCCCAGCTACCGAAGCACCTAAGGTACCTCCGTAGGTAGCGGTGGATAACGTCTGTGGGCGAGTTCATCGGCCTCGACTACGAATACCAAAGTCCGAACTTCCGAGGGCTTCCAATCTGACTTGTTCTGGGTAAGGTCCATTGCGATCTATGCACGGCCCGTGGGGCAGGCTGCTGTCTCGACTTCAAAAAAGTAGGCTAGATGGCTACGGAAAGGTTCGGATACTTAACTAGGGATACCCAGTTGCGAAAGGATAGTTTCGTTTCATCTCGTCTCGTCTATCCGTACGCGGGCTGTCAAAACCAAATAAGCTGTCACATCTGACGGGTGGTGGAGAGATGATCTTTACTGTCTTGATCCGGCGACAACCGGGCGAGACATGGACGCCGTTGATTGCCGGCAAGCAAGTGGGGCAGGGAGGCGAGCTCTGTGGGGGACTGTCGGGTTTGACATCCCGTTCAGTATCGAGAAAGCAGCAAGCAGCAAGCGAGAGACGCGGAGGAAGGGAGAAGAAGCCCAAAGGAAAGGAAGACCAAACCAAAGAGGTTTGGGTTGTTGATCCCGGCTCGCCACGTTTTCTGCAAAGGCACGTCGCACGTCGCACGCTGCACATTCCTTCTCCTTGCCTGCAGTACAACAGCGGATAATTCCCTCAGAGCTCGTTTGCTCTGGGCAGTGGCCCGCAAAGCCGATGACGTGAAGTTCTGAACAAGTCCCAGAGCTCCTCCCCTCGCGATAAGCGTCGTTACTGGTGTGCAACGGACCGACTGGGCAGTATAAGTTGGGCCGGCACATGGGGGTTGACAGCTTGCGTTCGTGAGAGACAGGCAAAGGAAGGAAGGGTTACGCCGTTTGGAGTCTCTGGATAGTGGTCAATCGTCCACGTCGGATTGCTAATCGTTCAATCCAGAGCCATGGGAACATGCATCTGTGTGTGTGCCCGGATGATGGATCGATCCATGACTCTGATTGACATTAGCAACGTCGAATACGGACGTGCTCGGCCTGGCAGGGCAATTAAAGGCAAGGTCACGAATGTATTGGGTTGGTATTAAGACACTGATGGGCAGAGGAGTCAGGAACCTGACCAGCGCACTGACTTGAACCGTATCGAAGTGTGTCTGGTGATGACGAGAGAAATTGAGGGGGAGTCCGAGAGAGAGCGTGCGGTATTGAGGAAATCTCGATGCTCCATTCAAAGTGCCATCTGGTGGGCTTGAAGCAATGAGCCAATAGGCCTCACCGTGAGTCCGTGAATGGCACACTGAAAATTGGGCCCTGAATTTTCAAAACGAGGCCACCCCCGGAGCCACAAAAATTTTCTTGCTGGTTTTTTTTTTTTTTTTTTTTTTTTTTTTTTTTTCGCTCGCCTTGCCCGCACCGGCGCTTGTTGACGCCGCCTTAACAGAAGATTCTCTGCAAGCCCAGCACACCGCACATCGGCAGGCCAACCACACAACACCTCTCTCTCCCACCCACGACGTCAACGCACATTTTGATATCAGACAATCTCACTTTTCCATCCTGGCTTTCTTCCGTCATATAACACCCCTCCCTTCTCAACTACTGCGTTTGCACCAGCACCGTCTGTCTCGATTGCTTGCGCCTCTGCCGACCTGTCGATATCTACACAATCTACACAGTAGCCCTGCCAAACCCCCGTCTACCGTCAAAATGAGCGAAATTGCCCATCCTACCATCCAAGGTTCGTGCGGTCCACCCCCGTCTTTCCATCCATCCATCCATCCCTCCTTCCCTTCCTCAAACAGATCTGTCTGTTGTTTGTTTGTTTGTTTGTTTGTCTGTCTGTCTGTCTACTCTCCTCTCTGCGGCTGGCCCTGCCCGCAGTCCGTCTGCTATTGTTGGCGTTGGGCATATACTGTTCACGGTTTGCTGGTGGATGCTCGCTGCTCGCTCTCCCGGCTTCTGCACGCACCCGTCTCAGATACCCCGCCATACAAAAATGTCTTGAACACCCCGCCCATCGTCACCTTGAGACCTTGGAACCTTGGGGGGGGGGGGGTTCGCTAAAGAGCCCACGCAACGGAAGACGGAGAATATCGCAACCGGGTGCGGGTCCCCATGAGCCTTGTCTCTCGTCCGTACCGCCACTCATTGGCAGACGGACTTTGTGCCGTGCGGACTGCCTGCACCTGGTCAATCGCCAACGAAACCTCCCGCAACTATTGACGGGTGGCTTTTCCGCCCTCTTCCGGGTCCTCTAACGACCTTCAGCCCTGGCTTCCTCCACCGTCTGAGCGCGCATGCACTATCCTTCATGGCCACTTTCGATTAAGCAATTCGTCAGGAGAAATCGAGAAACCTCGTCTCTTGCTTTGCAGATCGTCCGTCGAATACGGCATACCTCTTGCTGAGGTGACATTTGGAACATTGCAAATATGCCGGCTTATGGCTGCTCCGGGCACGGCACTTTTCGGGATCGGCAATGACACTCACCCAGGACACACAGGACACACAGACTGACTGACAGAGTGGATGCGACAAGATGCCCTTTTTGGAAACAAATTAGATCAACGAGTCGAGACCGCGCGCTAACCTGATGGAATGATGAACAGATGGCTGGTTCCGTGAGATCTCCAACATGTGGCCCGGTAAGTCACCCCCCTACCAAAGCATCGTGAGAATGAGGACACCGGCATGCTGACGACCTGCAACAGGCCAGGCCATGACCCTCAAGGTCAAGAAGGTCATTCACCACGAGAAGTCCCAGTACCAGGATGTTCTCATCTTCGAGTCCACCGACTACGGCATGGTCTTGGTCCTGGACAACGTCATCCAGGCTACCGAGCGTGATGAGTTCTCCTACCAGGAGATGATTACTCACCTGGCCATGAACTCCCACCCCAACCCCAAGAAGGTCCTCGTCATCGGCGGTGGCGACGGCGGTGTCCTCCGCGAGGTCGTCAAGCACGAGTGCGTCGAGGAGGCCATCCTCTGCGACATTGACGAGGCCGTCATCCGCCTCTCCAAGCAGTACCTCCCCAACATGGCCGTCGGCTTCTACCACCCCAAGTCCAAGACCCACGTCGGCGACGGCTTCAAGTTCCTCGAGGAGTACAAGAACACCTTTGACGTCATCATCACCGACTCCTCCGACCCCGAGGGCCCCGCCGAGTCCCTCTTCCAGAAGCCCTACTTTCAGCTCCTCCACGATGCCCTGAGGGAGGGCGGTGTCATCACTACCCAAGGTTGTACGTTCCCATTTGTTCAGGAATATCGAGGGGAATCATGGAAGTCTCGGGTCTCTAAAGTGAAGGAGAAGACAACGCTGCAGGCCCACCCACCCGCTCACTCGCAAAACGCGGTTGCGGGGTGCCTTGCTTCTTTTTCTTTCTTTGGGCCTGTCCTCGATTCTCCCCACGAGATACCGGTGCATTAGCCCAGTGGCTTGCCGGTGAGACTGGGTTGTGTGAACCTGGATACGCTTTGAACTCTCCTTTGTCTACTATTCTAAAGCGTTGCGCGTACTTGAGACTGTTACTCTTCTTCTTCTTCTTCTCTCTCTCCCCCCCCCCTATGCCGTCTACCGGCGCTTATTCATCCTGACTCTCCGTCAGAAGGCTTCGTTCTTTGAACTTGACGACTGTTGAAACTCTACAGACCAGGACTAGCTAACAGTATGCCCTACAGCCGAGAACCAGTGGCTCCACATGCCCCTCATCTCCAAGCTCAAGAAGGACTGCAAGGAGATCTTCCCCGTCGCCGAGTACGCCTACACCACCATCCCCACCTACCCCAGTGGCCAGATCGGCTTCATGGTCTGCACCAAGGACGCCGGCCGCAACGTCAAGGAGCCCCTCCGCAAGTGGTCCGCCGAGGAGGAGGACAAGCTGTGCAAGTACTACAACGCCGACATCCACAAGGCTGCCTTTGTCCTGCCCAACTTTGCCAAGAAGGCTCTCGAGTAAATTTGTGTCTGTGTGTGTGCGCCGTTGTAGCTACGATGCAAGGAGACGATGTTGTCAAGAATGACATGGGATTCATGAACTCATTTTGGGGAGGCTTGTGAGGACGGGAAGGATGGGGGGGGGGGGGGGGGGGGTTGGACTTTGGCAGGATTGTCAATAGATGGAAACCAAAAGGGGGGGACCAAGAGGGAAAAAAGTTTTAGTCGTAAAACGCAGAGGTTGACTCTAGCGTTGCTCAATATATTTTGTTTTGAGTCAAAGTATGTTGTTTCCCTGTGATTTGCATCACAAGTTGATTCAATGTTGAGATTTGCTCCGTGTCCCTCCGTCGGGTTACCCCCCCCCCCCGTTGTCGCCAACTCCATGTATATCCTTTACTCGTCTTCCCATTCAATGCCCCATTGAGTTCCATAACGTCTACTCCGTATCATAGTCCGAATTTCTCCGTAGCTTTTCTTCCTCAATCGTCCTCAAAACGTTCCCACCACTCTCCTTTGATACCACTGAAACCCCCCTACCTACTCGTCCTCTCGTCACCTCTTCTGACCCCGGGTCTCTCTCCCCCTCCATCCCTCCAATACCATCCCTTCATCGAAACCCTCCATCACATCCCTCTCACTATCTCACCAATCGCACCCCTTAGCAAGCAACAGCGCAAGCCTCTCCAACCAAACCCGATCAACCTCATTAAACCCATCCCTCTCCGCACAATCCACATCAATAATCGCCACCAACTTCCCGTCAACAACAACCGGCACCACAACCTCGCTCTTACTATCCCCGTCGCAGGCAATGTGGCCGGGGAAGGCATCGACGTCGGCCACGAGCTGCGTCTGCTGCGTGGCGGCGGCGGCGCCGCAGACGCCGCGGCCAAAGGGGATTTGTTGGCAGGCGACTTTGCCCATGAAGGGGCCTAGGATGAGGGATTGTTTGGGGGGCGTGGTGGAGGAGGTGGAGGAGGTGGAGGAGGTGGAGGAGGGGTCGAGGACGTAGAAACCTGCCCAGTTTACTGCGTTGGAGGGGGCTGTGAGGGAGTGGTAGGCGTGCCAGAGGAGGGAGGCTGTGTTTGCGAGGTTGCTGTCCACATGGGAAAATGGAGGAGTTAGTTTTTCATATTCATCTTTCTTTTGTCTCTCAAGGTTTTTTCTCGTCATGTTCATTGTTTCTCCAAGAGTGAAAAACGACTATAACAAAGATTTACGTGGGGGAGGATTGCGACTTACGCGACCTATTAGAAGTGTTAGTCTGAGAAGGGTTGAGGAGAGAAAGAGAGAGAGAGAAAGTCCAGGATATGAACTTCTTCAGCATCTAGGAATACAAGAACGGAAGCAACGTACCCAGTTCCTTTGGCCGTCGAGAAGACCTTCGGCTTGCATGAGAACCTGCTCATAGGCCTCCTCCTTTGTCACGCCATTGGCGAAGTTTGAGGCGTCGGCGTGGACCTGGGTGTTCGACACAACACTCATTAGTACACCGACAAAAGTAAGGTGGAGGAGGGCTGAAGCAGATTTTGGTAGAGGGCGGCGGTTGGGGGTCTGTGGTTATGAGATGTGCTCACCATTGTACTAGAACTTTTTATAATCTTGATTCTAAATGAGAGAGGAATGTGAGGAATAAGCCAAGCCTAGGTGAGGTAGTCGAGACTAGGGTGAGTCAAAAGGATGAGGAGCTTGCAATATGACCAAGCATAGATGGTTGTTGAGTTGAGACGGGTCGGAAATTGTGTGTTGAAATCCTGGTCCAATCACGTCATTTCTTTCTCGGTGAGATACACCTCCACACCTCGGTGAGGCCCGTTTCCTTCTCCCTTCAGACCCGAAGTTTTGTCAGCAACCCAAGAAAAAGAAAAGAAAAAAAAGAAAAAGGAAAAAAACGTGTTGCATTCCACATTTCCCGCCCCGGGCCCTAACTTCTGGGACGGGAGAATCGGGGGGGGGGGGGGGGGGGGGGGGGAGATTGGCCGGCTCTGAGTGGAGAAAGTCTGCCTCTTTCGCACTTGGCGGGTTCCGAGATGTCTTCTCAGCTCCGATCCCCGTCTTTTTGTTTCTCCAATTGCTATACGGATACTATCCCACTCACAAACCGAGAGTGCCGAGCTGCTCTCTGCTCCTCTGATAGCAAAGGGAGCATGAGAGGGTAGCACAGCAACACGCTAAGATACCATGGTAGGGCGTGGAAGCTATCTGGTTGGCGCAGGTCGCTTCGCGTGGCGTGGCGGGATATCTAAGGTACAGATCGATCAACGTTGCATGCGAGTGAGGAAAAACGTGACCCGCTGCTGAAGCAAGCCGAGGAACACCACCTCATCCAATTGACAATTGTGATTTGTTCTCAGAGTTACGAACGTTCCCCTACCTAAGCACCCAAGGTATGGTAAGCTTGCTGAGGTAGGAATCTAGGCCGGAGGTCGGATTCGGATGAAACTCCGTCCATGACTTCATTCTCCGCTAACCCCGCGTGTGCCCCCCGTTGGTGTGACGGCTCCTTCACCTTGTCTTAGCTGAGGCTAGCTCTGCATGAGCTTGAGGTGGTTTAGTACCTGAGGTAGCTTAAGAGTGTCTGTATAGAGATAACGTCTTTCCCGCCTTAGTCTCGTCTCTTCGTTCCGTGTCAACCATTCCAGAGTCTCTTTTCTTATTTGACTGCAATTGGCATCGTCATTCAGTCTCTCTACAACACCAAAGAGTCGTTGCATTCACAGCTTCACTACACCTTCCACCCATCTAGCTGGCGGCATAGTTCATTGACTACTTACCATCTCATCCTCGACCAAGTGAGCACTCATCCTACCAGACACAACAATGTCGGAACAACAGCAACAACAACACCAGGCACCCCGCTTCTGCGCCGACTGCTTCAAGGGCACGCTCCGCGGCGACGTCGAGCCAAAGGGCACCGTCGAGACCGTCTACGGCCTGCCGACATACGTCGCGCGCCCGGAGCCCGGCCGCGGCGAGCCCGCAGGTGTCGTCGTGATCCTGCCCGACGCGATGGGTTGGGAGCTGCGTAATACGCGCGCGCTGGCGGACGCGTATGCGAACAGGATTCCGGCTGTTGTGCTGCTTCCTGAGTTGATGAATGGTATGTTTTGGAAATCAGCATTTTCTTTAGACTTTCACGAGTGTTGTTTTGCGGGGTTGCCTTCCGATTCTACGCTTTAAAAGGAGGGGCGTTTATACATCTCTGGTTTGAGTGGTTTTTTTTTATTTTTTATAGATCAATGTGATGTCCCGAAAGTGGGATGAGGGAGATGGTGGATATCAAGGAATGGCTGCATACCGCGCGACATCGAGAACTCTCGTGAGACTCCCCAACCTTACGAACCTACTGACGCCGTGTGTACCCAAAGGCTACGCCATCCCAGCGACCGCACTCGCCATGGGCGACAAAATGCAGGCCGAAAAGTCGTGGTGGAGAAAATACCTCGTCATCGCGCCCGTCATGTTCGCGACGATGCTGCGGTACTTTATCCCCCTCGTCATCGCCACCCGCGCCGGCGTCATCGTCCCGCGCATAAAGAACTATCTCAGCGCCGTCCGCCTCTCGCCACCGTCTCCGCTGCCCCGTCCATCGACGTCAACATCCTCCTCCTCCGTTGAGGCAACCTCTCAGAAAGAAACCAAGATTGGCGTCGCGGGCTTCTGCTGGGGCGGGAAATTCACCGTTCAACTCACCCAGCTCGCCGCGGGACCGTTTGGCGGCAAGAGGCTGATCGACTGCGGCTTCACGGCGCATCCGAGCTTCCTTACGTTGCCGGGGGACCTGGAGAAGGCGGTGTTGCCGCTGAGCGTGGCGAACGGGGACGATGATATGATGATGCCGCGGGCGCGGATGGTGGAGGCCAAGAGCGTGCTGGGGAAGAAGGGGGAGGGGTTTGAGATTGTGGAGTATCCTGGTGCCAAGCACGGATTTGCTGTGAGAGGGGACCCGAATGATCAGCGGCAGGCGGATTTCGGGATGAGGGCGGAGGATCAGGCTGTTGGGTGGTTTCGGCGGTGGTTTGGGCTTGGTGCTTGAGGGAGGGTGTGAAGGATTGGGTGGGATGGTATGGTATGGTTGATGGAGGTCAGTTTTGGCGTGAGTTACTTTGCCATCACGATAGGAATTGTGAGGGTTGTGAGAGAAAAAGTCTTTAGTCTTGGTCTTTAAGGTATGTGTGGCTTCAAGTAAGTAGGCTCTTGTAAACACAGGACTGAAACTGAAATCGGGCTTGCTAATGTTACGAGGTTCCAATCTCCCCTTGATGCCAGTTTCATGTACGTTGGCAGGCACGAGAAACTCGCGTGACTTCCAGTTGGTTGAAAAGCCAACAAGAGACAAGTGGACAAAACCAACCCGAATGGCCACCAATTCCACAATACTCAAAAGTCTTAAAACACAACTCACCATCACCTGAAGCACAACTACGATTTGGTCAACAGTCAAAAAGACAAAAGATGGAAGTCCTTCTCCCCTTCCAGAATCGAACTAGAGACCTTTCGATGACAAGAGATGAACAATTACAGTCGAACGTGATGAACCAACTACACCAAGGGGAGCTTGATCAAGGCTGAGCCTTGCTCGGTGTGTCAGTCTGCCACGAAAAAATGCCTCAAGAAGTGTTGTGTTGACCCACAGATTGATCCGCAATTCTGGGGTTGTGATTTCGGCTCTCTGCAGGACACATCAGGTCAGCGACCTAACCGGGCGCGTACGGGCTTTCCTGCCCCGAAGTAATATGATCACTCTGAGAGAGACACTTGTATATCTTTCATGTGAGATAATGCAGAGTTGCCGTTGTGGCGGGTCCTGTCAATGTCTGTTTTGAAGTTTGATACCTCGCTGATATGCCAGACTCTCAGAACAGAGTCTTCAACTGGCCCGGTGTTGTAAAAAAAAACTCTACGTAAACCAGAACTCTAGTGTAAGGTGTCTTGAAACAGAATACTCTATTTCACCTTGTAAAAAGTTATGCCCTTGGACTCAGGTGACGCTGCGAGCAGGTTTGTTACCTCATCTTGATGTGAAGCTTCCATGCAGCACGTGGAAATGTTCAAATACTTTACTCAAAGAGAAAAAAAGATCGCCCCAATCGTCCAGCTCAATTGTCCAATAGCCAGAACTGAATAGTCACGCCAAGGGCAAACCGTAAAGCTTGATTCGGCGAGAGCGGCCGATCCCCGGACCCGACGCGGTGGGTGGGGTTGCGGGTGGGGCCGAGGCAGGGGGTGAACACCGATAAGCGATAAGCTTGTAGGTGTAATGAGTGACGAAACCAATTGCCCATTTTTCTTTAATTAAAATCGATATTTTGGCTTATGCCTTTTGGCATCCCGCGCGACCCGGTCCGACCCCCCCTTCACGAACCTAAAATCCGCAGCCTTTAACCCTGAAGTGTCCTCATAACTACAACTCGTTTCTCACACGTCACATGCAATGAACCACGGCACGACGCTGCGCGCAATGCGCGCTCCGTCCTCTCTCCTCTGCGGCGGCAACAGCAGCAGCATCGGCTCCCTTCACACATCCTTCCTCCTCACATCGATCGCGCGACAAGCAACCCCCTACCGCCGGCTAGCGAGCTCCCTCACGCCCGAAGAACCCTCTTACTCCTCCACCGCGAACAGAGACAAGGTCAACGCCATCGCCTCCTCCCGCCCAGCGGCCCTCGACCTCCCCGAGAAGAAACCCGACGCCTCAAAGATTGGCCACCTCTACGAGACGGGCAAAGCCTACATCAAGTTCTACAAGACGGGCCTCAAGGCCGTCTTCTCCAACCGACGCCACATCCAAGACGTCATCCGCGCAAAGGGCACCACGGTCGAAGGCTTCCGCTCCCCCTCCGTCTTCACGCCGGGCGTCATCCCCCAGGGCTTCTCGCGCGCCGACTGGGTGCTGCTCTGGCGCGTGCGTCACGACGTCCTCCGCGTGCCCTTGTTCGGTCTCGTCCTCTTGGTCTGCGGGGAATTCACCCCGCTCATCGTCATCTTCGTCGACGGCGTCGTGCCGTACACGTGCCGTCTGCCGCGGCAGATCGACGCCAGCTTCTCGCAGGCGGAGGAGCGCCGGCACAAGTCGTTTGCCGACTTTGAGCGGGCTGCGCCGCTGGGCGTCGCGGGGACGCAGGGAACGGCTGCGAGGGCGCCGGCGAGGAAACACGTGCTGCGCAGTCTGCATATGCCGGGCATGATGTGGGATAAGATTGGGTTCATCCCGCCGGGTATGTGGGCAACGAAGGGCAAGCTGCGGATGGCTTTCCTGGAAGGAGACGATAGGTTGCTGGCTCGCTATGGGGGCGCGGCCGCGTTGGACGAGGCGGAGATGAAGATTGCGGCTACGGAGCGTGGTATCGACTGCGCTGGTCGCGGGGATAAGGAGTTGAGGGAGCTGCTCGATGAGTGGTTGCGCTTGACGGAGGCTGAGGAGAGTGCGGAGAGGAGGAAGCGCATGACGGTTCTCCTGACGACAAAGTATGAAGTTTACTCCCAGACATGCCCATACGTGCAATTGCTAACTTTTGACACCTGCAGGACGGAGAAATGGCCAAAGGACCGAGACTTTGCCCTCCCCGAGTGGCATCTTTGAGTCGACACACACACAGAGCAGACTTGTATAGTACCTCGCCTGGCGGATAGCAACAGTATCGCCGAAATTTCTTTGTCAAAGGCTGCATTGTGGCAAGCACCGGATTGTATACTACTACTGTATTTTACCGCGGCATGAGTAGAAGGACGGGCAATGAAAAGCATATGGTGGGGCTTGGGGGGGCCAAAAAAGGAGGCGGCCTCAAGGCGGATAGACAAACCACTCTGTTCCAGACAGCAAGCAACAAATGTCAACAATTTTATCTTATACAACAGTTTGGCGGGCTGTCGCGGTCCTGATATGCTCCCGCTAACAACTTGTTCTTGCAACAGCCCTCTGCAAGGGGACTAAGCGGCTAGCCGGGAATGTGTATGCCCGGCTCGTTAGCTCAAGTCTGAGGAAATCTAAACTTGCCTCGCTGTGTTCTAATATCAAACCTGTACCCTTTCGTCCTCGATATCATCCATGGTCACTTCCGGTAGGGGCGAGTCAAGCCTTCCTGGGTGGTGATCGGGGGCAAAGCACGGGCTGGCGTACTATTTAAATGTTCTTCTCTTAGACTTAGTTTGTACGTTTCGATCTTGCTAACAGACGTGTACTCGGTGTCCGAATATTCCTAGTGACGGCAGCCTCTATCTCCCAGGAGCTTGGCCGCTACGCGTAAGAGGAACGGGGAGAATCAATCCGTAGACAGCTCGCCGCTCCATTCCTCAACTCCCGGCAGTATAGTATTCACCACGGAAGCAACAGTCGGCAGCACTAAGCGGTACTAGAAATCGAACTTCGATGAGACCTAGGTCAAAAGGTACAAACGTACGTCAACACGGTGTAAGCAAAGGCTACGCGATGAAAGGCTTTGGGTACATGCGGGCGGTGTGCGCATTCGAAACCCGGCGGCTTCATGTCGGGGCTGGGTCACAATCTTGCCTTGGACTTGAAGCCAGTGGAACTTTATAGTTTTGAAGTATGGTAGTATTATGACGCCTGTCGATGTGAAGGCACCTCTGCGATGGAGGAACAAGAATGCAAGTTCTTTCCTGCACGCTCACACGACCTTTACCGCGGTGCTATATCACGTTTGCGAATCCCCAAGACAGCGACCAGGCTTCTTCAAAGAGCATGACGCCAAACTTGTTGGAAGTAATTACAATTAATTCGTAGCTTAACGTCTTGCCTTAAGCCAACCTTTGAAAAACAGGATCGCCAAGGTTTACGCGTTGCGTAAGTCGCGCTCAACGCAACGAAGCAAGGCTCAAAGCTTGTAGAAAGGCATCAGTTGGTTTTGACTCGTAGAGTGTATAATTGCCAAGGTACTCTCTTCTATCCCATCACAGTCCATGGACTGTCGAAAAATCGTCATAGATCCCGATTTTGAAGTGATAACGTGCATGATAAGCGAGCGGATCGGACAAGCGAGCGGATCGGACAAGCGAGCGGATCGCTCAACAGCGACCGCCACATCTTTTTCTTTCCAACACATATCCATCCACCACAATGATACAGTCATCAAACAAAGAAGCTGGTATAATTCTAGCAGTTCAAGCTATCGAAAAAACACCAAATTTGAGTATTAAAGATGCAGCTCGGATCTACTCAGTGCCATTTTCAACCTTACGCGCCCGTATTAATGGAAGAACTTCGCGACTTGAAACCGTACCAAACTCACGGAATTTGACGTTGCTCGAAGAGTATACGCTAGTTGAGTATATTCTAGACCTGGATTCCCGATTATTCCCTCCTCGGATCAGTGGTGTAGAAGAAATGGCTAATCGACTGCTCGCCGACCGCGACGCGCCCCCAGTTGGGAAGCGCTGGGCTTCGAACTTCGTCAAGCGACACCCACAGCTCCGGACGCGCTTTTTTCGCAAGTATGACTACAAGAGGGCCCAATGCGAAGATCCAGACGCGATAAACGCGTGGTTTCGCCTTATAGCGAACAAAATCGCGAAGTACGGCATCGTGGACTCCGATATCTACAACTTTGATGAGACTGGGTTTATGATGGGCCAGATTGCATCCGGAATGGTTGTCACGAGTGCTGAAAGGCGTTCAAACACGAAAATGACGCAGCCTGGCAATCGTGAATGGGTTACAGTCATTCAAGCCATCAGTTCGTCAGGCTACAGCGTTCCGCCGTACATCATCGTCGCAGGCCAATATCACCTCTCCACCTGGTACACAGAAACAGGTCTCCCACGCGACTGGGTCATTGCAACGTCTGAAAACGGATGGACAACAAATGAAAGAGGCCTAGACTGGCTCCAGTACTTTGATCGGCATACAAAACCGCGTGCAACTGGTAGATGTCGCCTCCTCGTCGTTGATGGGCATGAAAGTCACCACTCTGCGGACTTTGAGATATATTGCAAGGAAAACAATATCATCACACTCTGCATGCCGTCCCATTCGTCTCATCTACTTCAGCCCTTAGACGTTGGGTGTTTTGGGCCACTAAAGACGGCTTATGGTCGACAAATTGAGGATAAGATGCGCCGGGGTAATACGCATATTACGAAGGAGGACTTCTTCCCTGCATTTCGCAACGCTTTCACGCAAGCCCTAACGGTAAAAAACATCCAGGGAGGTTTTAGAGGGGCTGGGCTTGTTCCGTTAAGTGCTGAAAGTGTGCTTTCGAAGCTGGATGTGAAGTTACACACTCCAACGCCCCCAGGGTCTCTCCCAGCAACACCCCCAGCGTGGACTTCTCAGACACCAAACAACCCAACAGAGGCAAATTCTCAGTCAACTTTGATTAAAGATCGAATCCTAAATCATCCAAATAGCTCGCCAACACCAGCTAGTAACGCAGTTGACCATATCCTCAAAGGGACACTAGCTATGATGCATCGTAATGCTCTTCTAGAGGCTGAGAACAAAACCCTTCGGGAGGAGAATAATCTACTTAGCCGACGGCGGAGATCTAAGAAAACTCGTCTCAGGCAAGGAGGGAGCCTTACTATAGCTGAGGCAGATGACCTTCAATCACAGAGAGAGGCTACAGCTCAGATTGAGGAGGAAACGCGCCGGAGTAGTGGCCGTCGGCCGAGGACGGAAACAGGTCAACGGCGATGTGGCGTCTGCGGGAACACTGGACACAATGCGCGCACATGTCCATTTCAGAGAGAAATGTCTAGAGAAGAGGATTATGGGTAGTTTCAATTAATTAAACTTTGTTGATGTTGATCAAAATTTACATACGTGGAGTGGTTCCTGTCGAGCGATCCGCTCGCTTGTCCGATCCGCTCGCTTATCATGCACGTTAGGTGTAATGCTCTCTATAACCCTTCCACAGCCGATGGTACATAATTGCCAGCCAGAAAAGTCAGAAGCTCTTTATCTCCTCGGGCCAAGACATAATCACATTCTCATTTCCGGCTCGGAATCCTTCAAATTTTATACCGCAAGATAGAAATAACCCCCAGGTCGTGCGATCCCAAGACGTCTGATATAAATAGACAGGTCATGCGATGACCTCGCAGGAGTTTACACCGTAAAGTGAGGCTACCTAAAAACCTAGACACCCACAACAGACCCAACTTGGCCGTAAGAGGCAGTTGATAAAATGTAAACTCTCAAATCGAAATGTCAACGAGCAGTAGGCGTGTGTGCCTTGGTGATAGACGGGTAGGTGGCCAAGAGGCATACAACAGTCCTCGTCAGAACCCGGGCAATTGTCACAAGTCAGCGCAAACGAGCAGATAACTCTCATTGGACCAAAAGCATCTCTCAAATTCAATATTGTAACCTCACGCAAAGCACCTCCTCACACGCTTCTAGATTTCCCTCAAGCCATCAACCGTCTCCCGCATTGTCTGACGAACCCATCGAACCCGCCAAGACCTCAGGACGTTGCTCCACAAGGAGTCAAAAAAGCTCGCAACCAAGCTTCGTTCCCCCCCAGGATCATTTCTTAAAATAGACTCTCATTCAAGAAATCAGCTAGCCTTTGCCAGACTAGGTAGGTGTTTGCAAAGTCATCACCGCTTCTCCCTCTCAGCTCGCCGGCAAAAGATGTTGATCAAGAAAATTCAAGAAGGAATCAACCCCCTGTCGTGCGGAATTCTGGTGCCTAGAGCCTAACTGCAAAAGAAGCAACCTAAACCCGCAAGCTATTACAGTCCGTACCCGCTCCGAATTGGCTATTACACGTGCCCGCATGCAAGTAGGTACTCACTCCGTAGGCTAAGGTAGTGAGCCTAAACTACCTAGTCAGTAGTCAGGGGCCGGCATTGGTTCATCCCGTCTCACCAGGTATTAACATCGCTTTTTCAAGTCACGACCTCACCAAGTGAGGTGGTGTTACCAAGCATCTCACATCAGCCCCAAGTATTTGACCATGGCACGAAACGGTCAACATCCCGCACGCCGGTGCAGCCTACGATCTGGGGCTGCTGGGCAAAATCTACAGCTGTACTCCGTATATGACTGGCTCCAGCACGTTAAGCTACCTTTGAAGTTCGCTTGAACCCACCACCCCCTTACGCCTGCGCCTGAACCCTTGCTGCAGATTGCGGTAAATGAGCGGGTTTGGCGATTATTCAGACCACATGCAGGAAAGAAATAAGAAGTAAACACACAGCACAGGGATTGTGTTAGTGTAGCATTTTGGGGCTGGATCATGGTTTGAGCTTTCCTAGATGCGAAATCTCGTACTCCGTACAGAGTAGTTTGATGACGATGAGCAGCACCAGGCCACGGGCAAGTTCTCCTGGGGTAGTCTCAACTCTCAAGCCATTAAAATACTAGACCATTTCCCCCAAGATGAAATAGTGACGAAAGAGAAAGAATCGTCACTCCATCACCGCCCTTCGAGGACCTTTTTCCATCTTCTTCAAAAGGGACTAGCTCTCATCACCATCATGAAGCTGCTCCCCCTCCTCGCCCTCTTAGGCATTGGCGCCGCCCACCCGCACCAGCACCCCCACGATGCCGCCGCCGCCGTCCTGGACTCGAGACAACAAACATGCTCCGGTCCCGTAGAAGGCAACCCCTCCACCTGGTGGCGCGCCGCCATCGGACACAACGGCACGGCGCCGACGAGCACGGACTCCACGTACCAGTACTACCGGACGGCAGTCCAGTACGGCGCCGATAACACGGGTGTCCAGGACTCGTCTGACGCCTTTAACTTTGCCATTGAAGGTATGTACCTTACTCTAATGCTTCGATATACCCTCCAAATCACTACGGTATGAAATCATGTAACTGACACAACACACAACAACAGCATGGAGCCGCACAGGCAACACAGTAACAACCCGCCCAGCCTACATCTACGTCCCGCCCGGCCGGTACCGCATCAAGAAGCCGATCCAGATGCTCGTGACGACCTACCTCGTCGGCGACGCGCTCAACCCGCCCGTTCTCATCGCCGATCCGGCGTTGGGCAGCAGCCCCGTGATCAACGGCTACGATTCCCACCAAGGGGATGGGTCCGCGACCAAGAACTTTTACATGGCGGTGCGGAATTTGGTGGTCGACACCACTGAGATTGGGACGGGCGTCGCGGCCGTCGGCATCGATTGGAGCGTCTCGCAGGGGTGCTCGTTGACGAATGTGAAAGTGCGCATGCCGAATTTCTCGAGCCATGTTGGTGTGACTATGGCGCAGGGCGGTTCTGGCATCTTGATTAGCGATTGTGTAAGTCTTCCTAGGTTTCATTTTTCAAAAGACTCCGGCAGGATGAGAAATTTTGAAGCTCGCTTTCGAGAACTGACAAATATACGTCCAGCAATTCGAAGGCGGCGCCATCGGCATTAAAGTCAACGGCCAACAATACCAATTCAAGAACCTCTCCTTCAACGGCTGCAACGTCGGTATCTCCGTCGACCACGTCTACGTCGCCGTCGTCCAGGGCGCCACGTTCGCCAACTGCAACTTTGGCATCGACATGGGCCGCAACACAGCCGGCGTCGTCTCCGTCGTCGATTCCAAGGTGGAATCCTCCTGCAACGCCGGCGTTAACAACCTCGTGACGGGCTACGGCCAAAACTCCCTCGTCCTAGACAACTTCCAGGTCGGCGCCGGCGGCAGCACGGCGGCTGTAAAGTCCTCGAGCGATGGGTCAACCTTACGAAAAGACTCCGTGCCGGCCGGGCAGACGTGGATCATGGGATACGTCAACTCGAATAATTTGCAAAAGGGGACGGTGTACCCCATCGATCGGCCCGCTGCGCTGGTGTCCGGGGACAAGTACTTTACGGCGCCGCTGCCGCAGTATGAAAAGTATGCACTGGATCAGTTTGTGAGTTTGAAGGGCGATGCGCAGTACCCCGTGTACGGCGACAACAGCCACAATGACGGGCCGAACATCAATGCCATTTTGCAAAAGTATAAGGGGTGCAAGATCGTCTTTGTGCCGCAGGGTATCTACCGCACCGAGGAGACGATCTACGTTCCCCCAGGAACGCGGCTGGTCGGCGAGACGCTGAGCATCATCAACGGTAGGTCATATCTGGAACCTCTGGAGTCCCTCGAAATTGATGACTGACTGCAAATAGGCATCGGCTCAAAGTGGTGGAACCCCGACGACCCTCAGCCCGTCCTCAAGGTCGGCAACCCTGGCGAGACGGGCGTCGCTCAAATCACCGACATCACGGTAGAGGTAGCCGACGTCCTCCAGGGCGCAACTCTCGTACAGATCAACATGGCCGGCGCGCGGCCCGGCGACGTCGGCATCTGGAGCAGCGTCTTCCGCGTCGGCGGCACGAAGCACTCGCTGACCAACACAAACTGCGGCGGCGCCGACCCGGGTGCGTGCAAGGCCGCTTTCGCGCTCATGCACGTCACCTCCACGGCGAGCGCGTACCTCGAGAACGTCTGGGGCTGGGTGGCGGACCACTCACTCGACGGTGGCGCCGCGCAGAATATTGCCGTCGGAAGAGGCGCGCTTATCGAGAGCACCAAGCCCACGTGGCTGGTGGGAACCAGCTTCGAGCACTGCGTCTTGTATCAGTATAACCTTCACAACGCGCAGAATGTGTACATCAGCTTGGAGCAGACGGAGTCTGCGTATTGGCAGGGTGAGGGAACTCCCCAGCGAGCGCCCAGCCCGTGGTCGTGAGTCAACCCCGTCTCCCACAACATCATACCGTTGGCCCAAGTAGTTGATACCCTGGATGGCTGACCCTTTTCACACACAGCGTCAAACCAGCTTTCGGCGACCCGGATTTCAGCAACTGCGCGGCTCAGGGACAAGGCAATAACGACCGATGCTACCGGTCGTGGGGCCACTACATGACGGGCAGCTCCAAGGTGGTGATCCACGGCTCCGCGCTGTGGGTGTTCTTCAACAAGATGAACGACAACCAGTGGCAGAACGCGCAGTGTGAGAACACAGGCGGCAACTGCATGACCAACCAGGCCTACGCCGACGGCGCCAAGTCGACGTACTGGTTCGGCCTGAGCACCAAGAGCACTACCGCGCTTCTGTATGACAAGACGGGTGGCGTCATCTGGGAGGTGTTTGCAAGTGATAACACTGGCGGGTGGGGAGGTGTCCTTGCCGCGTATCTTCGAGACTCGGCAGCTTGAAAGTCTAGGGAAGGCTGTTTGGTGTCTTTTTGATATAATTGAGACTTCATGTATATACTCGGGCGGAGACGCATATCCTTAGTTCTGAAGCTAAGGAAAGATGTCTAGAAGCAAAAGTTTCTTGTGTTTGTCGGAACTCAAGTACGCCTACAGCGAATGTTGGAAAAGACTACGACAAGTGTCAACAAATAATAGCCACAACATGTCCATAACAAACTCGCCGTTTTGATCCTTGGGCACGACACATGCAATCTTGGCCGAACGCAGGTCAGACGACTTACTAGGTCTCTGCCGATCGTATGCTGTCCTGTACAGCTCGTGATCTTGGTTCAAGTAGACAAGCGGTGGCGGGAGCGCGACCAGACATCTGTAGAGAACAAATGCAATCGTTGTGTCCGTAATGTGTGTTACTTCTCTCTCTCCGCCTCAATCGGTTTGTTTGTTCACCAAAGTCGACCTTAGAGTATAGTCCGACTCAGCCGGTAGACTCAGGGAACGATACGAACATGGCTGTGCAACTTACACATGGTGGACAAGATCTCGGACATATAGATGGATGTTAGAGATGCATCATTGGGGCTTTCTGCTGCGCTATCGTGGTATGTTCAGTGGCTAGCGTGGCTTTGACTTGGACTTTCTGCCAAATATGGTTTGGCCAACGGATCTGCAGCGGGAGACGGCTCATCCTGAAGTTCAGACAGGGGCATGCATGTTGTGGCACCAATGGACGAAGGAGGCCTGTCTCGACACAGCAGCACCTTGATGGTATACACGTATAAACAGGACTAAAAGCCGGGGTCGGACGAACTGCCAAACTCCCGAAACGTTGATCAACGCGTGCCGTGCGAGGTCTTTCAGCCTCTTTCGATGGAAGCTTCGAGCCGAGGTCCCCTTTTGTGCCTGGATCTCGGTGCATGCCCGGCCTTTATTATCATGCACACTGCATGACAGCCCGCCGCACTCGGACTCGTTCTCGTTGGTGCTGCCCAATTTGGAGCAGGGGTTTCTGGGGTGTTATCCCAATTTGACTTCCCTCGGCTGCTGTCAGATTGAAGAGGAAGTCAGAAAGCTTGGGATGAATGCTGGGATCTGCAGCATCTGACTGCTCATCAACGAGAAAGGTTGCGATCAGAGATCGTGGCGAACCATCAGGGAAGCAGAGCATGAATTGAGTCCGAATGCGAAATGCGATTCGGGGGTTGTAAGGTCGTCTGAAGCTTGTTTCGGAGGAGAGAAGGAACCACAGAGTCGGGATGTCTTGCCTTGTCTGCGGCGTCTGCGCTGTCTTGTTTCGTTCGGACCTTTGGTTGACCTCGATCGACTCTTCTTTCCCTCGTGTTTCTCTTTGGTGCCTCGGTCTCTGCGAGACATGACGAACGCTAGCTTCAGCACGCTGAAGAACGGGGATTGTTCCTTGCGACGTGTTACTGGCGTGTAACCGGTAAGGCGCTCAAGGCAGTCGTTGGCCAGGACCGGAACCAGATCCATGGCAATAATGGGATCAGCGTCTCGATGGACCATTGTCACTGTCCAGCGCCGGTATCAGGTATGAAGACTTGGAGCACGCTGTGGCGTCGAGGTCGTGCAACACGGTTGTGGGCATCGCATGGTGAGAACGAAGGCAAACAAGACTTCTGTGGCGCTGTGGCTGGGACACATTGGTCACCGTTCGTAATTCAGTATTGATGATGGACATTCTAGAACCCAACTGTCAAGGTCGATCGATGATAAGCGGTGAAGAACGAATGGGTGCGCTTGTGTCCCGTCATGGCAGCGCCTGTGCTCGGTTCGATTGTGGCCGCCCGCCAAGTCCGTGAACTCCTCATGATGGAAAAGGTAAGGTACGGAGTGCTGATACCTCGAAGGTCGAAGTAGCCGTAAATGACGAAGCGAAGCATCCACGAGTCTCCGTTCGCGCTACCGCGGTGCGTTTCTCCAGCGGCCCAATGCGCCATTCGGCCCCCATGAACATGGAACTGGCATAAAGCGTGCGGGAGTGGAAGATGAATTCCACACAGGTACTGTAGAATATGTGCAGGGGTGCTGATGCATTTGGCTGCACCTGGCTGGGGTTGACCGTCGGGTTCCTTCCATGGACATGGACCATGGAGAATGGCCCACTCTTTCCTTTCTGGGGGATAAGGTAAGGAAGGTAGGTGCCTTCGTACTTTTGGTAGGTGCTGAGGACACGCGCGGGCACATGACGCCCTGCCGTGTGTGGTAAATCGCCGAGGTTCACATGCGACGACTGAGCGTCATTGCTGAGGTGCGCTTAGCAAAGTAGCTTCCATCACTCCGCCTCCCTTCCTCTCTGTTTCTTTATTCCTCCGTCCGACGACCCCAACCTCCGACGCACGGCTTACCGTTGACACCTTTTTGTTCAGTACTTAAACTTTCCCAAGTCCCTCCCCCACGTTTCGGTAATCTTTCGCGATCTATCACAGCCAGCTGTCCATAATACACACCATTTCGACATCATCTAAATCAAGTATATCTATCCTATAATCACAATGGGTCTCACCAACGGTACGTTAGCCTCCTACCAGGATGTCTCGGTTTCGGTCTCAATCGCACCCGGCGCTGACTCTGCTGCGATTCTACAGACAAGTTCCCCTCCTCCGCCGCTTTCGACGCCATCAACGATGCGCTCGGCTCCAGCGAGCCCGACCGCAAGGATGCCATCAAGCAGGGCAACGCCATCTTCGCCTTCACCCTGAAGAACTCTGCCGGCGAGACCGACAGCTGGCACATTGACCTCAAGGAGAAGGGCGTAGTCGCCAAGGGCACCGGCGAGAAGCCCACTGGTATGTCACTACTCCTGCGAGCGCGGCGCGGCGCGGCGTCGCGCTGCTCTCCTCACGTTGAACCTTCGCTAACGTCGACACAAGTCGCCCTGTCTCTGTCCGACGCCGACTTTGGCAACCTCGTCCAGGGCAAGGCCAACGCTCAGAAGCTTTTCATGTCCGGCAAGCTCAAGATCAAGGGCGACGTCATGAAGGCCACCAGGATGGAGCCCATCCTGAAGAAGGCCCAGTCCAAGGCCAAGTTGTAAATGTGTCGCAATGGATATTGCGTTGTCGGTAATACCCTGTACCATAACCTACCAGTCGGGCCAGCAAGTAGTGCTGGCCCTGGATGCGCGCCAAACGTAGCGTTGCCGTAGGAAATGAGACTATGATCAATCAATGAGTACCTTGACAGTCGTTCATCGCAGTGAATTTGACCGGCTCTTCATTTGAGGAGTTGCAGGAAATGTGGTAGACTTCACTTGTGTTTTTCGGTTCATGGTGTTGTACGCAACGGGGAACAGCATGTGACAGCATGCAAGACCGGTCTCCGTAGCGGGACACTCCAGTACGTGCAAATTCCTTCATTATGGGAGAGAGCGTTTATTTGCACCGGAGAAAATAGGTCAGCACGGTGTATAAGTGGCAGATTCATTCGACGGATGTCCGATACGCGTGCTCCCGTAAAAGATAATAATTGCTTCCGTGGCTTCGACCTCAGCGTCAACGGTGCTGAACCTCAGATGGTGGAATTCCCGAGTATTGCCGCCCCGAGTCAGGAGGCCCATTTGGGGTCGGAGCACCGGCGCCGCCATCTTCACGTGCACTCTCCGGCCGTGGTGAGCCGGATCTAGCAACCGGTTGACTGGACACCGTGATCCGTACGGAGCTCAAGCTTGCGATGACCAGTCGATACTTTGTTGCGGATATGCATACCCATGAATTGGATTTCCTCGAAGCCACCTCGACTGGGTTCTAAATGGGCCACTCAAGCTACAGGGTGTTGATACTCGTCAGCGACTCGTGAGCAAGGCCGCCGTCCGTTTTGGGGAACCGTGTTCCCCTGGTTTCAGTGTCGCAGTCGCACCAGCCAAACATATGGCATGCAAAGGGGTCAGGAGTGCAGCCGACTTGAAGGTGTGTGTTGCACTCGAGCACTGCACCTGTCTTATCTGCTTCGGTGATAATAGCGTAGGCTGACTCAGCAGACTCAAGAAAAGCCTGGGCCAGCAGATGCTCCGTCGGATTTAGGTTCATTGAGAAGGTACCACTTGGCTCTGGGTAGGTACGGAGTACGTAGTGATCGTGGCTTCCATTCGTTCGACTGGTTTAAAGCTAGAGGATCGTGACGCGGGACCTGAGGAAAGACCGGGTCTGGGGAACGCCCTAGGAAAAATTGCAAGCGCCGACCACCAACCAGAAGCGCCCAGTCGCAGTCGCAGTCGCACCTGCCACTTCCTTTTCACTTAAGTCACCCGTAAAGTGCAACCAATCGAGGGCGGTGACGCTGGCCTGAGGTTGAGTGACGGCAGAAAACGAGACCCACTCTTTCCCGACCGTGCTCGCGCCCCCTGCACCGTGGCCTGGTTTTTTTCCCAATAGCTGGCCCCGTCACCCGTCGCCCGGTCGAGCCACACCAAAAATCATCCAGCACCAAAATCTTCGTGTGGTTCTTGCAGCCAGACTACCACCAAAAGGCGTCTTTGATGCGCTGTTCAGCATCACCTTCTTGATCGCTGCGCCATCGCGTTTTGCTGCTGTCGACACTTCCACCTTTCTCGACTTTTTTTTCTATCCAATCGCATCCACCCTTTAGCAGTTGCTTCTCGCTGTTGCGCCTGCTTTCCTTTCTTCGCCCGCCTGGCTTTGTCTGCGAATCCTGCGTGAATCGAGACGCGACTCTCCCTCCGAGACCGAGTCGACCGGCGCAAACTCCATCATCAACGACTAATTATAATCCCGAAATCGATTCTTTGGTCGCCGCCCATCACTATGGATCAAAGAAACAGCACCCCGCGCCCGCGCCCGTCGCTCAAATTCGCGAACCGGAGCTACCAAGCTTCGCCTCTGAACCCGAACAAGCGACTGGGCACCCCCAAGACTGCTCCATCGCAGAGAGTCCTGAACCGCGACCCCATGCCATCGAGCAACCTCAACACAAGCACCATCTCCACCGCGAGCAACCTCTTCCGCTCCTCTACCCTTAGCGCGAGCTCCAACACTACCCCCTTCGCTCCGAGCCTGCCTGCGAGCACCGCCAAGAAGGTCTTCGCGCCCGGCGCGACCCCGGCTTCTCAAAAGGTCTATCGAGAGAATATCGCACAGGCGACCCCTCGCGGCATGGCAGCCAAGTCGACGTCGGCCGATCTCTTCCAGATGCGCATCCCCTCCCCGCCTCCCGAGCTGTCTGGCGAAGTTCTCGCGCGAGATATCCCCCCTGAGCTCGAAGCAAAGGGTACAGTGTACGCCGATCAGTATCTCAGCCACCTGGTTCCGGCCGAGTACGATGATTTGCAGCGTCGTCAGCTGTTCTGCGTTCTCGATCTTCGTCGTCTGAAATATGCCGCCAACGAGATCTTCAACAAGAAGGATTGGAAGCTCAACATTATGAACTTTGCAAAGGAATTCGAAAAGAGCCGGAGCTTGATTATGCTCAGATATGGCCTGTACGAGTTCAAGAACGTCAAGCCTTCAGAGGAGGTTTTGAAGAAGTGGAGGACCGCACATGGATTGCCTGAGCCCGAGGAGGAAGCTGCCGATGCTAGCCCGTCCAGGCAGACTACCCGTTCCAAGCGCAAGGCTGAAGACCAGCTGACTCCCAAGGACGCGGCCCTTTCGAGCGCTTCCCCCAACAAGAATAACAAGAGGCGTCTTGTGGACAGAGAGGAGGAAGATCCAGCGACCCCGGCTACGGTCAAGAACAAGAGAAAGGCAACTGTCGAGGATGAGTCGGACGAGAACCAGCCCAGCAAGCTGCAGAAGTCTACCTCGACGCCCTCGGCTACCAAGAGCATGTTTGAAAAGATTGCCAACAACCAAGGCCCTTCTTCGACGCCCAAGGCTGCCCCCGCCCCTGCTCCCAAGGCTCCGGAGGCCAAGCCCAGCAACCTCTTCGGAGCAGCACCCAAGGCCGGTAACAACGACCTCTCACGCTCCGTTTTCGAGAAACAGCTCAAGCCTGCCCAGGCATCCAACATCTTCGGTTACTTGTCTGATGCTAGTTCGGCAAAGAACAGCGGTGTGGAGGCCGATGCAGAGAGTGAGACCGACTCCGATGACGAGGCGGAACCCAGCGTTGCCGCTAGTGGTGGTGCCGAAACCCCGTTGGGTCAGCCGGCCTCCAACCTCTTTGGTGCTAAGAAGCCTCTGTTCTCTGCTGGCGCCGCGACTGCTCCTTCTAGCACTTCATCCGACGCCCGGGAGACCACTCCTTCCGGAACTAAGAGTCTGTTCGACCGCGTGACTAAGGGCAACAATGGACAGCCTCTCCGCGCGGACTCGGCAGAGCCGGCGCCGGCTCCTGAGAAGCCAGCTTTCGCCCCGGCCAAGGAGCCTGGTCCGGCCCCGGTTAACGCTACCTGGAACCCCAACTCACCGATCAAGTTCAATGCCAACCCTGCGCCTAGCAATGGACTCTTCGGTGCGTCCACAAACGGATCGAGCTCCATTTTCGGTGCTAAGCCTGCCGCTCCTGCTGCCCCTGCATCCAACTTGTTCGGCGCCCCGAAGCAAGACGAGAAGCCTAAGGCCGAGAAGCGGTCTGCTCCCGAGGAGGACAAGGGCGCGGAGTCGGATAAGGAAAACGACTCACAGCGCCCTTCCAAGTCTCCCTTTGGCGGCTTCTCCGGTTTCCAATCGAAGCCGTTCGAGGCGCCTAAGAAGGACGAGGCAGCTCCTAAGCCGGTTGCCGCGCCGACTTTCGCATTTGGTGCCTCCGCTCCCAAGGCGGAAGAGCCCAAGCCCGCCGCCCCGGCTTCCAACCTATTTGGTTCTCAAGACAAGCCTGCGGGCTCTGTCATGCAGTCATCGACACTCTTTGGCGGCAACAAGCCTCAAGAAACACCTGCCGCCGAACCGGCTAAGCCCCTCTTCGGCGCCAGCACATCGAGCACTTCGACTCCTTTCCAGTCGAACCCCCTTTTCGGTGCCAAGCCACCCGCGCCGAGCACCTCGAACCTGTTCGGTGCAAAGGCGAGTGATGAGGGTTCCCAGGTCCCGCAGTTCGCTCCCATGCCCGTTGCGGCTCCTGCCTTCAGCTTCGGCGCCAGCAAGCCGACGGAATCCGCTGGGTCTCCCTTTGGTGGCAGCCCCATGAAGCAGGATGGGCCGCCAGCGAAGAAACCGTTCAACGCTCCCGCTCCCTCCACCCCGGCCGCACCATCCGGTGGCATGTTCAACTTTGGTGGACATAGTGCAGCTCCAGCTAACCCCTTCGGCGGCGCTGCGCCTGCACCTCAGACAAACGGTGGCTCCAGCGGCCCTCCAAGCTTCGGCTCTGGAGGCGGTTCATCCTTCACCTTCAGCGCTGGTGGTGGTGGCGGCCAGAGCTTCAACAACCCCTTCGCATCTGCTAATGGCGGCGGCTCGGGCTCTGCTCCTGCGCCCTCGGCCGGTGGCATGTTCAACTTCGGTGGCGGCGGATCTTCCGCGCCCTCCAACAGCTCTACACCGTTCCAATTTGGCGGTGGCTCGTCCGCGCCTGCGCCTGCGCCGGCAAGCAGCACCCCCTTCCATTTTGGAGGCGGCGCTCCCGCTCAGCCTGCTGCCTCGACTCCCACCTTTGCTTTCGGTGCCTCTAACGGAGCTGCCAATGCTCAGGCACCTGCGTCTCAGAAGCCGCTGTTTGGAGCGTCGACCTCAGCACCCACGAGCAGCCTCTTTGGTGCCAAGCCTGCCCAGCCTCCCTCTGGCGGCATGTTCGGTAACCTGCAGCCCCCAGCGGGGGCTTCTACTACTGGCACAAACTCGCCTTTCAACTTTGGCGGTGCCTCGAGTCTAGCTACGACTCCTGCCACTGGTACTCCCGAGCCGGCTGCGGAAGCCGATAAGGCCGCCGGTGGTGAAGGCGACGATGCTGATGGCAAGCCTCACGAGCAGCTCAAGCTTACTGAGGGTGGACCTGGCGAGGAAGACGAGGAAATCCTCCACGACGTCCGAGCAAAGATTATGAAGTTCATTCCGGCCGGGTCCGAGGAAGACAAGGACAGCGGCGACGATCAGCCCAAGAACAAGAGCCCTTGGTCAACCAAGGGTGTCGGCCCGCTCCGTATCCTGAAGCACAAGAACACGGGCGCGGTTCGCATGCTGCTGCGCGCGGAGCCTCGCGGGCACGTCGTGCTCAACCGCACCGTTCTGCCTGCCGAGACGTACAAGGCGGACAAGAAGTACGTCAAGCTCACGACCTCGAACGAGACGGGCAGCGGCCTCGAGACCTGGATGGTGCAAGTCAAGACGGAGGATTTCGCCAAGGCGCTGGCAAGTGCTCTGGAGGCCCACAAGTCTGCCAACAAATGAGGCAAATGATGGAAACGCAATGAAGAAAAGGATTATGGAAGAATGCCATAGCATGTCTTTTTGTTTTTGTTAGCCCTCCGTTATTTGGTCTGAGTTTTATACTAGACGGAGAGAAAGTATGTGTCTGTCAGTGTGTGACGGACAAAATGTGACGGAGCGTTGGGTGTTTCGCGTAGCGACACAAAAAGATAAGGTAAGGCATAGCATTGCTCTTTGGGCTCGGCGTTGGGATCATGTATTTTGTTGTTTTTGGTCCTTATTTTACCCTTCTTCACTCGTTTCCTCTCGAGGTTGCTGGATGTTGTTGCTCTCCGTACCTCATTAGGAGGGCGGGTTTGTGAGGATTGAGAGAGGGGGTACTGAGAGGTGACGACTGAGAGAGAGAGAGTGTGTGGAAGACTCGAATAAAAAGTACAGCTTGTAGAAGTTATATTGGGAGGAATAGGGGAATTGTAGTACATTATCAAAGGAAATTGTGTACCTGACTTGAAGCTTCGTTTCGCCTTGCCTGCTTGGTGTGATGGATGTGATGAATGTGCAGTGATTTACGTTGTGGGTTGAAATCTAATCCAGGGGACCAGCGGCGGTCTCCTGTCTGCGAGATTTCCCAGGTATTACGCTTGTAAGAAAGATCCAAGAGAGGGACATCACCGGTTAACTATATAATCCTCTTGCCTCTGAGGGATGATCATCTCTCTAAAGCTGCACTCTGCTCAGCTTCGCTGCGCGGGACTAGACTTGGACTCGGGCCTGTCTTATACATGGTCCTTAGACGAGCCCAAGAAGGGACTCAGTCATTTCCTTGCTATACATAGCGGCTTCAGTGGCTCAAGCCCTATAGCATGCTTTACACCAGAGCGTCTTATCTGGTGTGAGATATTCGATGCGGAATAGGGTATGAAAGCTGAGAACTGGTGATGAGATATGGTTTCAGTTTGTCGAGCGAGGCTTATCAGAGTAGGCGAAGTGAGATTTTCTCTTTGTGTCCCTTGACTAGGAGTGTATGCCTGGCTGTAGGCCTCAGGGCACTTCGTCACTCAATGATCCTTCACCAAAGGTTTCATAACCACATGGCTGCTAGAGAGCCCGATTATAGATTATGCCTGATGTTTTTATACCAAGTGAGAGCCCCCGCTTCGAATTGCCTCCGTAACTAGCAACGTCCTAGCCACGTCTCCCTAGTAAGTGAGCACCGCATAGTCACCATATCTAATATCGCCAGAGCAACAAGAAATAGAGACTAATTCAGTAATATATCCGTGGTGCTGCCATAACTCGAGCCTCTCACGCATGCCGCGTTGGTGGTGTTGTCAGCCGCTTGGGATGTTCCTTGAGGTCAGCGGTTATCTGATGGGGTTGAAAGTCCCATCTAAGGTACACCGAGTGAGCTTTTCTAGACATTGAAAGGCAGACAAAAAACTATGCAGATTTTTTTGAAATGCCCAAGCATCTAAAAGAGAAAAAAACTTAAAATCAAGACAACCCCCAAGGAAGCTTGCAATTTGCAACCATCATGGGGATTGCGCTCTCCTCCAAGAAGAAGGAGCCAAGGCAAAGCCGTAGAACTAAAACCCAAATTTTCAGTTGCACTTACTCACATTCACTCATTTTACATAAGGGACACAGCCAATATTGGAGGTATTGTCATTCACGGACAATCGAGGGTAACTAGTGTACAAAGGTGGTGGTTGGCCAGGTCCAATAGAGACCCAGGCAAAGCGGCACATGGAAGTTTGTCCGCGACAATGATCATCTCAAAAATTCCCCGCCTAGTCCTGTTTATGCATGTTTCCTCAAGACCCCGTCCCTGTTTCCATGATCCACGATTTCGTTGATGCAAATGCTAGACCCCAGTTCCTGATAATGCTATGCCGACAAACATGAAAATAAAAAAGGACTTCTGCCCTGTCACAGTCCTCAGGCTGTCATCCTTATCCCCCCCCCCCCCCCCCCCCCCTATCTCCGTTTCATGGGACAAATCCCGAGTTCGTGTTTCGCCTCTCCTATTCGGCGAGTATTACAACAAAAGAAAAACTGGGGGCCTGTCCCCCCCGATCCAGCCAAATATGACTGGCATGTACATGATGAACCCGCAGGGCGTTTGCGGATTTAGTTGTCGTGCCTGAAAGTGCACTTCTCGCCTCTAGCGCACTTGCCCTGCTGCCAAAAGCTGCAAGGCTTGGTTCCGATGAGGGCACGATTGACAGGGCGATGAGGAGCCAGCGTGGCACCGCCAGGAGCGTTGCCCTTGCGGCCTTTGCCTTGCTTGCTACCCTTCCCTTCACGATCACGAACGCGTTCCCTATCCCGCTCGCGTCCACTGTGATGCTCAAACTCGTCTCTGCTGTTCTGGTCGCTGTAGTCTACGAGCTGGCGCTGAAGGTGAGGAGGAGGCTTGTACGAGTTGGTATCGTGGTCAGGCGGAGACTGTGGAGCAGCTGGCGGAGGCGATGCTTGCTGCTGAGGCTGTTGCTGTTGCTGAAGCTGCGCGAGCATCATCAGCTGCTGGTAACCAGTATCTGATGGGTTGAGGCCATATTGGTTGCCTTGTGATGCTGGCTGCTGTTGTCCCATTTGGGCGAGCATCGCTTGAAGCTGGAAGTCCTGTGCGGGCTGTGCCGCAGGGGCCGGGGCAGGTGCTGGTTGAGCTGGTTGAGCTGGTTGAGCTGGTTGCCCACCCTGTAGCATGGCCATGTACTGGGCGTACTGTTGCTGTTGCTGATAATAAGCTGCCCACTGTTGTTCTTGAGTTTCAGGCGCGGCGGGCTGCTGAGCCTGGGCCTCGGTCTGGGGCGCGTTGCGAGCTGCATCTTCTGCCTCCTTCTTGGCTCTTGTCGTAACATCCTTTTGGTATCCGGCCCACCACTCCCTCGTTCTCTCCTGGTTGTTCGCCAAGTATGCTGGCGGACTAGTCGCCGGGTATGGCAGTCCTCGCAAAGTCTCGGCCGCCTCTTCGACCTGGTCGGCGGCTGCTTGAATGGTTGGATCGGGATAATCGTAGCGTCGATGAGTCTGGGGGGCAGCCGAGTTGAAAGGGTTGGAGTCCCGCCAGTTCTGTACCTCGTCCGATGTCAGAATACTGTTGACTTTGTCGTCGAAAGGAATTGCCGGAACAGGCTGCATTTCCGCTGCGGGAGGAATGATTGGCTGCGCGTTCTCCTTGGGCGGTGTCATGTTGTACGGCTCGGGCTCGACGGCCGGGGCAATTGGCTTGAGGTTGCCCAGAATTGAGTTGAGCTTTGCACCAGGGTCGTCCTTGGCATCGAGACGCTTGCGAGCATAGTATTGTGCCGCTTCCCACCCGAACGTCTGTGTCTCCTTCCAGCGCTTGTGGATCTCGTCGTATTTCGGCTCACCCTGCGGCAGCTGATAGATTTTGCCCTCGGGATTGCTGACGGGTGTCGCAGACTCGGGGGCAGGAGACTTTGGCGTAGGCGGAATGTCTGAAATATCCATGTAGGTAACCATTAGCTCCTTCTTCTCCCGCTCCTCTATGGCCTTCTGTTCCTCTGTATGGAAAGTCACGTTGCCACCACGAGTAACGTAAGACTTGTTGCGAATGTCTTCGGGGATTCCAGAAAGGTCGGCGAGAGCCGGCATGGTCCAAGGCTTCTCTGGCAACTCGTCCTCCTCGTCATCGTCCTCATTGTAATTACGCTGCTTGAGCATCATTCCCTCAGATCGGTCATCCGCCGCGTCCTTGGTCATATTATCCTCGCCTTCAGCGACTTCTTTGGTGAAAATACGAATCTCCACCAGCTCTTCAGGGGGCTTGAAGCTGACACGTAGATGACGGCGGGCCTCTTTGCGAAGTCGCTTTGCCTTCTGTTCGGGTGTCTCCGAAATATCTTTCTTGCTCGAGTCCTTCGCCTGTGTTGAGGGGCCGTCTGGCTTAGGCGCGGTGATGGAGTCAAGTAGAGAGGCAATGCTGGACAAAGAGGAGCCGCTGGAGACGGCAGCTTTGACAGCAGACACCCTCGACTCGGGCTTAGCCGCGGACGCTGCTGGCCTCTTATCGACATCCATGGGCGTGGTCGTGTTGGGTCCGTCGGATTTCGAAGGCTCGCCCTTGGGAGCGTCTCTTGTCCCAACTGGCTTAGGTGCCCGAATTTTGTTGGCAAGAGTAGTCGTTGGTCGCTTTGCACCAGCACCAAACTTGGATAGCAGAGTTCCGCCTGTGGACTTGGCACCGATTTTGTTGCCTAGCATGCCGCCAGTTGTTGACTCGACGGCTATCTTCTTGGTGACGCGAGAATCGGTGTCTTCATCACGGACTCTCTTGGCAGGAGAGCCATCAATAGGCTTGGCGGCCGGCTTGATGACTTTGCTGACAGGAGCAGCCGGCGTTGTCTTCTTGATGTCGACCCCATTGGCTGTTTCTGTGTCTTTCTTAATCCTCGACGCTATCGTACGGACCAATTCCTTGACCTCAGCATCGCCCTTGTCAGCAAGGCGCTTCCGCACGTTCTCAAAGTTGACAGCCTCCGTAACTTTCTTGAACATGCTGATGTTCGACATGAATCGAAGAAGGGCCTTGGGCAGAGGTCCGCTGAAATCCCCAGCCTTTATGGCGCCTATCAACATGTTGACCAGACTCAAGATACCCTTCTGATGGCCGCCAAAGTTCTCCAGCACGGCCTCATCGCCGTACTTAGCTGCCGCTTCGCAAACTCGAGTGAAGGTCTCCTTCTTGACGTCGAGCTTTCTATTCCACTCTGAAATTTCCTTCTCAGGCTTCTTCTCCTTGGTTGCTTGGTCGAGTTCCTGCTTCAAACGGTTCGTTTCTGATCTCAGCTTGATAAAAAACTCACCCAGAGACTGAACGGCGCCAGCAATGAGCGCATTCGTTCTGGTCGCGGAAGGATCAATGTAAACAATGCCGAGGATGTCCCAAACAGCACCCTCAATGGGATCTGTGGGCCGCTTTTCAGGACGGATGGGTTTCTTGCGTTCTTCTTCCTCTTCCTTCCGAGCTTTTCTCTGGGCTTTAGATTTGGCGGCCTCATCGGCCTTGAGCTGCTCCTGGAAGGCGAAGGGGTAGTCGGCGTACTTAGGTCGCCGAACACCCAAGCTCGTCATCTCACGTTGATACTGCTCGATGAGGGGTCTTGCCTCTGTCTCGCGGTCATCCGGCTTTCCGACAAAGTTCGGGGATGGCCTGTAATTTTCCATGAATCTCCCTTGAATCTCGCATGGAAGATCGGGACGGAGTTCGGGCAAAATGCGTCTTCCATTGGGCGATGGCAACGCGACCAGAGGCGCGAGTCGGTCGTAACTCTTGGGCGGGATCAACTTGGCTGAGCCAGTAGCAACAAGATACGAAGCTCCGGGGATGGGAGGGAATTGCTTCTTGGACGTGGCGTTGCGTTTCTTGAATTGTGCCAGGAGAGCCATTTCCTCCTCGGTACTAGAAGGCAAGACCAGTGTTTCTCCATCTTCTCCCCTCTTAACGGTCGCATCGCCAGGGGAGTCGGCTTGTTCAGGTTCAGGCTCCTTC